TTATCCTGACTGCTAAGCCGAAGGTCGGGGGTTCGATTCCCACCCAGGACTAATACTGTGTGATGAGTACGATCATTTATTGTATGTCTGGGTGTAATTTATCTATCATCGTCATGAGCCTATCGCAGTCCACTGCTGGACATAGGCCAGCAGTGGACTGCGATAGGCGATAGGATAGTTGCACGCCACGCCTTGTATTTAGGAATATGTATTGTATTTTTTTCAGCACGCTGGTTACCATAATACATGCTCTGCCTAGTTTGAGATTAGACTGCTGCGTGTGACATGTGTAAAGTTTTAAAGTTAATACCTATACCCTATAGTGTATTCTGTATCTTTTTCTGAATATAATGCATTCATAATATTATTTGGGATAAATATCTTACTGTCTTACATCAACTCAAATTCTCAATAATAGTCTCTTGTAAGCGCTGCCCTCTGGCCTATACAATACCTTGTCTACCGCCTAGCCTATATAAAAATTAAATGTGCCTATATAAATATGACGGGCCTGTTGGTCGAGTGGTTAGTGCCCCTGACTGCTAAGCCGGAGGTCGTGGGTTCGATTCCCACCCAGGACAAATATTGTGTGATGAACATGATAATTTGTTCTGTGTCTGGGTGTAATTTATCTATAATATGTATGTATTTAAAAATATATAAGTATGTTTATCAGCAGTCTGGTCACCATAGCACAGGCTCTGCCTAGTTTGGGATCAGACAGCCGTGTGTGAAATGTATGAGGTATATTTAAAAAAAAATAAGGAAAAACTAATGTCATAATCTACCACTACAAGCAAATAGAAATGTTGGTTTTATTTCAAAAGAAATTCATTAAAACTATAATATTAGGAAATTGTACATTTCTCTTTCATGCAATATATTGTAAAATAACTTACGTTATTGTAGCTTTATCTTTCCGTATTAAAATATTAAATTTAATTAAAAAACGATAACTTTTAGAAAGATTTGAATAATTCTTTTTTTATTGGCTTTATTGAAAAAAATATCTTGGCTATGTAATATCACGCCACAAATCTTAAGAGTAAAACAAAGACCATAAATGCACATGAAACTGTGGGGAACGGTTAGTCTTACATTACACGTTCACTTTGCCTCTTTAGTGAATCTTTATCTTCATAATATCATTGCTAAAGACAGTCAATTAGTCCCTGGCCTGAATGTTGCGAAAATGGCGTCAATTATTATTGGCATCGAGCTCCAAGCCCTGTCATTGATTGTTTTAGGCCAGATCGTTTCTTAGCATCTCAAAGTAATTTGTGAGCATGCCACAAATCAAACGTGACCAATGCGATCGGGTACACGTGCTCTCCTAATTCAAAGCTATAGACATGGCACGAATTAACCGTATCCAATTATATGGAGTACATTTAGGTACAACGTTGCCCGCATGTGGAACGTTCGCTACTTAATCGTCCACCACGTATGAACGCATGTTATTGCGAAATCACTTTCTCTTACTATTTGTCGTCTATCATTATACATTAGAGCTATTTGTTTTTATGGTTCCATAAGTAAGTAAGCCTTACTGCTAACGACTTCGCAACGTAAAAGTGATGCATGCATACTTTCTCGTGCTATCATTTAATTAAAAGATATTTATTATGCGAGTACGTGATATCTTTAACTTTTACATAGATTACATGTGTAAGATATATGATATCAATATTAACAAATGTTAATTTCAGTTACTAAAATGGTGTACAATTTCAATGTTATGAAAAAGTTATCGATTTTTAACTCTATGTTGGTACTAAATAGTTTCCAGAAGTATCTATAAGCAAATTTTCTGTTCAGTGCACTTTTGCAAGCAGTAACTACTATTTGAGATAATTTTCTATCAACTGTACTTGTAATTTTCCTATAATCATAAACAATCAATACGAGACGAAAATAAATGGCTTGAATTTTCTCAACATCTACAATAGGCTATAAAAAACTTACAGTAAATTGAAATCATCCTCATATTTCACTGTCTGAATTAATTTCCGCTATGCGCATCAGATACCACAGTCAGTGCATCACGTAGGCGTTCATCCTCATTGCAGTTAAATATCTTCAGTCTTTATATCATTAGCCTGTTAAGGATCGAATGAACGAGTTCATTCTAAATTAGATAACCTATAATGATACGATTGCATCACTTGCAGATATGGTATTTTTAGAATTAATACTATTTCTATTAAAGAGCTAGATATTTGCTTTTTACGACTAATGTCTAAATGTTTACAATGGCCAGTACGAAGTTTGTTTTAAATGTAAATATATTGGTACCAAGTTCCACTAGATGTGTAACTTTTTGTTTCAATGTTTTGAAAACGTATTTTATGACCAACGCAGACTGAATTAAGTTAGCCTTGTTTTACATTATTTATATTTTATCTGTCTGGATAACGTACTGGCTGTTAGTGATTAGTGTGTTAAACATCTGTCTAACCTTGTTAGGATAGATATATGTATTGTATACCATTGTCCATTGTAAGGGCCTTTTTGCAATATTAACATTAAGGTAATGTAGATATACATATTGGAGACGGAGACACCAACATTGAAAATACAATGAGTACTAAAGACGTTCTACTGATAATATTTGCCAGAAAAATATAGAATATTGTGGTATTCTGTGGAGTAGTAGGGTTTAAAAACTTTTCCAACATTTCATTTACTATCTAGATCCACGGAAATAATTGCCTAATCTCTTACAATACATTTTAAATATTTAAATCCTTTTCACAATTATTTTTATGACATTGTGTTTAAGGACAATACCATCGATAAATTTAATCTGCAATATAACAAGACATTTAAGGGTTCAACCTGCTTTTATTCCCCTTTTTTTTTTCCGTGCGGACATCCCCTCGGATACCACCTGTCGGTGGCATGTCGGACTCGAACCGACTAAAACCGCACGCCGTCTCGGGTACTAATAGCCGGGGAACCAGGTATACCCTAGAAAGGAAGTCCCTGGTACTGCTTCTATTCCCCCTAAAATAAAATATTAATTCTTTGTAATGCTTATGTTTTTGTAGAAAGTGGCTTCTGATTTCTAGTTTTTTTTTAAGGAAAAAGGCCTTTTTTTTCTTTAAATAGGATCATTCTTTTGTCACAGTTCAATTATTTGAGCACCGATTAAAACTGTAGTTGATTCCATTATGTAGTTACATATACGAGTATATACTACAAAGTTCTTTACCGGTCATTTTGATATAAAACGTGAAAAATCTGTCTTTCCTTTACTTTGTTTATACTCGAACATACATTTGCGATACTCGTAATCGTTGTTTGATAAACAAAATATTTGCAATTTTACAACGAAGTTGAATGACATCACTTATTAATTTAATGTCTCGCTTCAGCGCTTATTTGTTCAGACGAAACATAACGTTTCACGATACATAACATAGATAATTTCAATTCTATTAGGATATGTATAAATTATGCTTAAAAACGTCGAAAAGTATGTAACTTACATTCCCTTCCACGCAGTTAAGTAAAATTATATATCTATACTTATTTGTTTTATTGACACAGTTTGCTGTATTTTCCACACCGTAAACAGTTTTGAGTAAAACAAAACTTCGGGAGTACGATTAAAAATAAGGAAACTTACTAAATTTTAATTTAAAGAGAATCCAAAAATAACACAAGTAAAAAAAGAAAAATTTATCATAACAGAGAAGCCAAGATCCATAGAGGTAGGTAAAAATAATACCTAAATTGTACATTATTTGTATTGGTTTTAATAGTTTACAATAGGTACGCCCCTTGTCTGTCATTTATATAAAAAAAACAGTTAATGTTGAGTTTTATTTTAACGGAAGGCTTTCTGAGAGGTAGGTAAATGCACCGATAAAGGCTTATAACCTTAAGGCAAAAAGAACGTAACTATCATCATCGCAGTTCTAGAACGTTTATTCTAACCATAGATTAAACTATGTTTAATTGTTACTTAAAAATATTGTGCATGTATTATAAATGTATAGTATCTAAATATTCAGACAGAAGATTCACGGAAGATCCCAATTCACGGAGAATAAGTGTCCTAATTATGTACTTATTACTTGTCAAACACTTGACGAATTTTCAAGGATTTCATCTCCAGTTTAGGGCGATTCATTTTTTTGCGGATAATTATCTAGTTCAAAACAAAACAAAGAATCACTGATGCAAGATGAAAATGCAAGGCAAGGCAATCTCTGTTTATAATGTGTATTTACATGTAAATTCGACGGTTCATTGAATGAATAATATATTATACGTCCTACGCAATGAATGTTTATATTTTGACTGTCTAGCCGATAAAATAATGTGCTACGTAAGTTTGCATGTGTTCCATGTTTACTCAAATATTTTTATTGCTATAAAATGTGTTTATAGAACAATATTCAACTATTAACTCAACCACAACGCATCGCTTTGTGCCAAAATATAAAACACTAAAATAACAAAAAAAAAACTTTTACGATTCTTCAACCATTCATAAACTATAATGGTGAAGGTATAAGTTTTTTTTCGTTATTTCAGTTTTTACTTTGTTATGTTACTACACTATACAAGTTTTATATTATAATGATTATATTACAAAAGCCTAATTAAAATTCAATGTGGATTAATCGTAAACCAATTGTTATAATAGCTGTATAGATTCCTATTTCAAACAAAAAAAAAACATAAAAATAAAACAGATTACAATAATTGTAATGCAGTGCACAGCCGATTAATAAACTTACTTTTCTTTGTATGAGGTTTATTACGTTTTTAAAATAAATAAAAATCATAAATATCTTATTATATTAAGTTATACATTCGAACGTTTCCGTTTCAGAGAAAGGTTTAATAACTTAAACAGCAAATTACTTTTAATTGTAACAAAACTTGTTTGATTTACATATTTTACTTCTATTGAAAGGCCACGGAAAAGGAATAGAAGATTACTAGTAGGTAAATTACCATATCGTAGAAAATATTGAGAGCGCAGACTAATATTCGACCTTCAGAGCATAAAGCAGCTGTGCTGTTTCCTGGACAGGCCCCGACTGTCCACCATTCAAGAGGTGGCCACGGTTTGTGAGCGTTCTCGAAAGTAATCTTATTGGGTTAACCTTAATCCCTGACCATTGACCCACTTGCGACGAAACACCGTGTGGATTTAGTCCGTTCGATGCCACTGCCAATTCACTTTTAGCCTTTACTTCACCCGGTGATGGAGAAGGGGAGTATTCCACATAATAAACAAATGAAAAGATTTCCATCATCTTGATGATGCGCTTAGATAATGCAGTGTTCTATAACTTGTTCTGATATATACATCTCTCACTTACTTTATGAGTTGATATCTCACACTTGGAGTAACGAGAACTACTAGTAACATAATAACTACAACCGAATGCATGTTCACGTTACTTTAAACTGGTTACCTCTCGTTCCTTAATTTGATAATTTAACAACATTACTAACTGCCACTTACATCAAATCCGCAACAACCAGTAGTAATAATAATATCGAACGGTAGTTTTCAATGTTAGTATTAATTAGCCCAAAAGCTAATTAAAAGACCTAGGGCCGGAACCGATACTGGCCTTCGTTTTAAAGGAAGTTGGACGAAAACGTCAATGATATAAAAAATCCATAATTACTTAACAACGATCTTTAATTAAGTTACCGCAAACCGCGACAATCTCAAATATAACTGCAATAAGTCGTTACACTGCTTCTGCTAACAATCGGCTCAAACTGATATGTGAGAGTGACGCATACATTTCATATGATATGTATCTTTTATCTACTTATTTTAATTTTGCAAACATCACGTAGCTGTTCAACAAAGATAGTAAATAGTTGAATAAAAATCACAACAATCGGTAGCCTACTAGTGAAGGCTTTGTGTACAATAGAAGCGCGCACGTCCTCCGATATGCCCACCATCCGGCATCTAACCATTCTTCGCTTCATTGACAAAAGTAAACAATGTTCAACAAATGATTCGAAGGTAATGCACCTCATTACTGTATCAATGGAGAAATCAACGCTGTAGGCGATAGTAGGCGGTGTTGAAACACTCGGCTTTGCAGTGACTCAGTAAACAGCATATTGAAATGCATGCCACATGTAACTTCCAAGCAAACTACCTAATTCGTAGGTCTACAGCAACACTTGATTTGTTAAGAAAATTGTTTTTTTTTCCAAATCTACTTTAATGTTTCATAATTAAAAACTTAATTCTATTTTAATCATTTATATCAGAAAATAGAAAAAACAAACGAAACGTAAATATATAATAGTTACGCTTAACTTTATGTCAACTTCAATCAGTTCATGAAATTTTAAGAGTTTGCGTTAAAGTCCTTTAACTTTTAGAACAGTTCTGTTTATAACCATAGAGAAATCTAGGACGATCTGTTTCACGTCTACTTATAGAAAATTATAGGGACACTAATAGTCAAGATTATTGGTGCTAGCTAGCTTTTTAACGCATACCTATAAATCTTTAAATTACATAGGTGTTAATAGGAATTCAAGATTTATATTAATTAATATACCTCACACATCTCACACACGACCGTCTCATCCCAAACTAGGCAGAGCCTGTGCTATGGTAACCTGGTAAATTATTTAGCACGAAAAAGTAAGAGACACTATTTATAGATTAACTCAAACGACTATTAAGATTTCTATGAAAAGAAAGTAGGTATCTCAGGTAAAAGCAAATTTGATAAATCTACGCTTAGTGAGAATCATTAAAAAGACCTAAAGTAAAAGTGTGTTTCACGCAAGCCATATTTCATAATTCTTCACTACGTGACTAAAAGTACTATTTGTAAACTAATATATAGATAACGCTTTATCTACATTAACAACATTAGTACTTATAATCAGTCAATTATCAGAGCTCTAAAATTATAATAGGCTAGCAATTTACCTGTTTCTGTGTTTTATCCGGCAATATTATGGACAATTCGAAGGATCTATTCTTTTTGTCTCGGCTACCAGACCTCATCAACTTTGACGATGATCGCGTGATACTCTGTGCCTTTTCTGGTAGCTTTAATGCAACGATCGACATGCTGCGCGAGAGGCGCCGGCCTAGCTTGCGTGTACGAAGCGACATGGATCCACTTAATCCGCGTTTGCTGCGTCCTTCAACCGGCGTGGACACCGGCGCAGCCTCCTCGACACTACCACTCTCCTCACTAGCACCAGCCATTGCACTTAACTGCAGCACAAATATGCAAAAAGCAACGTCAACATTCACATCTCCAACATAAGCATGTCACAAACAAATAATCACAGACACTTGTAAAGTCTTCTGTCACTGAGTCATGTTTCAAAATATTCACTCGAAATATAAAATCCAGCGGACACACTTTTCAGTTGAAGATCAACATCGTGACTGCTCACCGATATCGGAAATCAGGCCTGAACAGTTTCAATGTAACGTCGATCATATGGTTACAGAGCCGGTTTGGATACAACTGACCCAACGAATCCACCAATTCGGGACGGTATCGATGTTATGCGATAATGGTCCGTACTTAGTATGAATGGATTCAGTTGTGCGTTTAGACTGATTGTTACTTTTAAATAGAGCGCGTTATCGTTCAGCGTGTTACATGAGAGCCGTGCGCGCGGTGCGGCAACGTCTACGCGGGTGTTCGCGGTCGGAGCGACTAAACGCGAGAAGTACGCAGCTGCGCGACTCCGCAGGAGATAGGCCTGTCGCCCCCGCCGCCGCTTGACAGCGACACAACAACTTAAATCAAATTACTTATCGAAATGCGTTGTACTTAAACGCTGACACAAAACAAATGCTCAGGCTCTTATGACAATGCCGGGATCGCTCCCACGACTCCGTCAACTATGAATAGGGACATTAACCGCCGACAATTTTGCAGGCTTAAGTTTGCTTAACGGGACTTGCTCTTGTTTTATAAATATAATCTTAACTGTCATTGGACTTCTTTTGTTGTTAAATATGACTTGAAGTAGGTAGTGAGACAAATATCTAAAGCAATGAGCGGTGCTAGATGACTGGCTCGCTCGTTACAGGTCAATAGATCTCAAGGCAATCGTGTTTCTGAACAACAACTATTAAAACTATATACATATATTATTAAACCTGTTTATCATATAGTATTACTTTTAGAATTATCCTACCTAATTTAAAACCTGACGAGAAAACTTTAAAACCCTTATTAATGAAATAGGGTTTTCTAAGATTATTTCGTACTATAATCCCGTATCTAAAGAAAGTCATAAAGGACTGGAAGACAATTGGACCACAAGAACAAGCGACCGAATTGGTTTAACTCGCTTAACAGGATGATATGAGAAATAAACGCTTACGCGAGTCGATATCAAAGATTTACTCTCGTTTACGAAAAAGGAACACAATTAAGAAAACCACTAAATCGTTATGCGTCATTCATTTCATAGACTTTATGGTTTTTGTCCTAACCAGTTTTTCCATTTCGAAGACATGTTCGATCAAAAACTCTGCAAGAAGTCATCTTATTAAACGACATGGAAATATTCAGTGGTAACCTGACAACCCTTCTGGCGGTTGCTCGTATTAACCCTGACATAACCAATTATTCGATAAAAAGAAACATTATAAACGTAATTAACAATAAATAGCAAAGGCCGAACAGAAGACAGCAGTTAGAAATTTCTTGCCTCAATTTTACTAGGTTAATAAGAAGCAGCACCATAACTAAAAATTTAGAATAGGTTTTACCTGTCAACCAGTTTAAGAATGAGACCAATCATCATATTATGAATGATCTTATTCGAGTTCAAGTGAATGAAGGGGAAGATACCTAGTATACACTCTTCAATGTTTGAGTAGATGTTATTTTGTTTTTTTGTTGTTATATCTTGTAATTGTGATGACATCATGGCAAAGAGATGGCTGTAGTGTAGGTATATATATATACTTTGTACATACTTCACATAACCGTTGAAGAGAGACGGCGACATTTGTAAAGAAATTAGCAAATACGAGGAAGAGGCTGGACCTCGGAGGGATTTCGGTAAAGGACCCGTATGTTTTGCAGTACTCAATTAATTCAACAGTATTTTAGATGTCAATATTATTTATTGCCAATAAAAGAATCCATAAAGCCAATTGCACTTTTAATGTCTACTAACTATAAAAAATAAATCAAAATAATTTTAAACTCATTAGAGCTGTAATATTATTTATCTACGTTATATCAATTTATTATCATATTTATTTACGTCATATCAACTGTCAATATGGCAGCCAAAAAAATATAAAGACCGCTATTTACATTGACTTGGGCTACTATAATTTTACAGAATTTATATAAGAGTAGGATACTATTATAAATTTATATAGAGTTTGCAATGCACTATTAACATATGTAATTCATGAACACTCAGAACCCCGAGATGCAGTAAGTGACGTATAAATTTCTAACTGAACAAAATAGAACGAGAACAAAAAATCTTTACCTGTGAATTGTAAAGGTGCACCGGTATTTCTATTATTGCCCAGATAAAACCAACCGACAAAATAGGTTCATACCTTATAGCACATATGGTACTTAGTGCAAAGAATCCATAAAAATCGGGCATAAACAAGTAGATATTATGCTACTACTAATTTATGTATCCATTTACTATAATGCACATACATTGTGATGGTCCTTACTAATGCTGCACAGGTGACCTTCAATTAGAAAGAAACTACTCAGTAAATATAAAGTGATATAGATGACAATTTTAGCCAATATTGTTATATAAAAACTTGTTAGTTTTGCCTTTTGGGACACAGTTCTAAATATCTTGTCCTGCAAATTTAAAAACAATCGTAATCTAAACAGAATTAATCCAGGCAGTATGTACTCACAAAGGTAAACGACTTCAAGAGATGATGTTTCACTGATGTTAAAAACGTTTGTTTCAGAAAAACTGACATAGTTTGGAGAACTGATGGAGAATGGAAAACGCGTTACTCGAAATTATACTCATCGCGCCGTCTGTCACAGTTAGTGTCGTGGTCGTGACAGTTATTTTCTTTTGAATCCTTCAATAACAAGGCATTACTTCGCTGTTTCAAACTTTCTAGATATATTTCACTATGTTGAAGAATATTTTAAAACGCTTTTTTTGGACATTATAGTTAGTGTTGCTAAGTTAATGGAGACTATAAAGTAATTACTAACGGTCTTAAAAATGATAAAACACGAACATTATTGACCTAAGTTGACCATTAAGCACTCTTCTGATGCTCAGCGGTCACCCAAAACACCATTAGCACAATCAGCAGTAGCACAACGTGTGTGCCAACCAAAACAAATAAAACACTCCGGTCGAGCCAGCTCATTGGATGAGCTTAATATTAGCAGGTCTTAAATTCTTCTGTAACATTCATTTTTTATTTCAGTTTATAACTTTTATAACACATTCTTTTTTAATGAACTATAATAATAATCGATACCTTTCTTTCCCTCGTGATTAAAGACCGATGGAAGACCAATCTCGGCGAATTTCATTCATGGGACAAGAGCCAGCACCGAACAGAACTCTGCTGATGAGGATACATACACGAAGAAACAGCTCATTATATGGTGAGACTCTCCCCGGAGTTGGCAGTACTTCAGATATTAATACCCTGCTGTCGCAACGGAGCGAAAGTTACTTTAGTTATCCGAACACATTGAATATGTCGAGGTCAGTATGGTTTACTTAAGCATGTGATACAGTAGAGAAATATAACCAGAAATTATGTTCACAAAGTTTGTTTGAATAGCTAAAATAGCTAACACTTATGACATTATCTTTATTCCTTAACTTGGTAGCTAGTGTCCCTTCTCAGACTTTTGCACATACATGTGAAAAATTAATTGCGTATTTCTTTGTACAGGTACATTTGGTCATTATTCAGTACATACGTATAGTCGGGCTACTGATCTACTGTCACAATTTGTACCTAAAATAGATTTTTGTGTTTTGTAACCTAAAATGGTGAACTTCTAGTTCTTTCATCTCCAATTTTCCACAAATGGCACACATGTCCCATTTTTTATTGTGTCTTCATACTTAAATATACATACTAAAAATATGTTATACATATTCATACATGCATACATACACTTACGTCTTTATTAAACAAAGGTTAAGCAGAAGCGTATTAAACATATTTGCCAACAATAATTTTTGGTGCCACTTACTAACCTATTCCCATCACCATAGCACTTATTTAAAAGTTAGAACATATTGAAGAGAAAGGTAGAAAATAAAAGAAGGCAAAGAGGTAGGAAAAGTATATTGTTTATACGTATGGATTCTGGAGTTAAGCTCGAGCAGATCAGGGTCACATATTTTTGAAAGAAAGAAAGAAGAAAAGTATGAGCCTATATTAGAGTGTATTAAATTCTTCTGTAACATTATTTTTTTTATTTCAGTGCTGAGAGAAATGACAGCCCAAAAGATACTGACACCCTACTACTAGAAATGGTTCGAGCCAAGAGTCGTGAAATGGAGGAAGCTCAAGACAAAACCTTGGCACTGCAACAAGATGATGTCTCCGAAGAGTAGTTATTTATTTTATGCTGTTATATATATCACACATATATCATCAAAATTATTAAGCAAAGGATAGATCGAAAGTTTGAAACCATACACGTCTTACCCCAACCTGAACTTCATGAACCTTTAACTAAATGACTTTCTTTTTAAAACAGGGTTTGATTGTGATGTGGCGTAAATTAGAGTTTTGTTATTTGTGCTGTTCGCTTCAGCCATAATGTCGCATGCGTTTACTTAAATGTCAAAAATATTCTATGTATTGTATAGGGTCTCCCAGAATTAATGCAAGTTTTGAATTTGCCCCATTTGTGCGATAAAATGCTAGCAATCCTAGAACAAAAACTATTTGATAGCCTACAGTTTAGGGTTAGTAAACATATAGCGTTACGCGATATAACAACGGGTCTTTAGTTGAATACTATCCAAAAAAAAATAGAGTTCGAAAATTTTATTTCACATTTTCATCTTGGTGGCTTTGTTAATCGACTCGAAATTGTCGCATTTGGGGTTTGGTTCGGGTTGGGGTGCATTCACAACGTGTCACTGTTTGGTGTGGATTTTGAGCTGGAGGCATCATTGGACCATACTCATTTGAAAATAAGGCTGTTAATATTCGCCTATTATTAATTTATTAATAACGCCTACCACTCACGATTTCTAACCCACCTAAAGGTTGACTGGAAGAGAAAGCCTTGGGCATCAAGTCTGCCGATGTACAAAAGTGCATAAATTTATAAATATAATATAATATAATATTGTACCACATTCACACAACACCATCTAGTCCCAAACTAAGCAGAGCTTGTACTATGGGTACTAGACAACTGATATAAATACATATAAACCTTTACTTTTGTAAATACATACTTATTATACATAGAAACACCATAAATAATATTTTAGATATTTTTTGTTCTACTGATATTAAATACTGCTACAAGCGTATAAGAAGTGGTCTGGATATACAACTACCAGGACACATGAAAAAATACGTTTAAGAAGCCAAATAACTTTAAAATCAATAGTAAAATCAATAGATTAAATCAGAGGCACCGAATAGACAAAATCGTTTGAACCTCCTGTTTGATTAAGATGATGTCATTCAGTAGTTATACATTACGCGTTGGCACCACGGTAGACCATTGTGCGACTTTCACAGGCACTTCCAATAGAAAAATTGTAAATGCTCCACTTAAGTAAAAAAAAACTCAGAATTCAAAACGGAAGTATTTTTAAATATTTATTCAAAAGTGGAGACTGTTACAACGTTTTAATAACGATTAAACTAGAGTATTAAAAGTATAAAACTATGTCGATTACCTAGCTTTTACAATAGATGCTGAAGATGACAAAGAAACAGCTGCAAATACAAAACGTACAAACTTTCTCTCTCGATACTATTATGTATATCAACTACAACTTTAACTTTATCAAAGACTTCTTTGACAACTGTAATAATAAAATTATTACTATATTATATCTACAGATTAACATAATCAGGCCACTAAGATATGTAGTACTATTGTTTATGATCAATATAGAACGAAAAAATAGCGCTACTACGTTAGAACTGTTTTACAATATTATTACATAGTTATACTTAGTTTTATAAAAGTTTCACGGAGATTTAGCTCCAATTGAGGATCTGAATTATTTTTTATCGCTATTTTTAACCCTTGAAGGTATAACATTTTTAAAAGAAAACCTTCTTGAGTACAACTTCAGTAAAAGCAATTAAAAAAGACCCATTGAAATTAGTCCACAAATGGAAATATCGCGTAATATAAGCACAAAAACAATAATGTGTTGTATTGAAAACCTAATTTAGTTTAAAAATCGGTTAAAAAAGTTGTAATTCATTTCTCCTCATTACTTGTTGCCATTTTTGTACGTAATAAGTTTATGCAAAAGTATAATAAAAATTCATTTTTATAACATAAATGGGCTTGGATGAATGGCAATATATTAATTAGTTGATTATTTTTATAGTTATCAATATGTTATATAACAAATAAATCCTATGACTATTCAATAATTTAAAAAAAAAACAAATCTTAACAGCAATAACTTGATAATAGTAAAGTCAATGAGTCAGTTTCTATCAAAAGCTTTAAGAACTCTAACGAAATTGTCATCTTCAAATTAATTCAAGCTTTATCAGGCGTATAATAAACGATTATTTTATCTCAGCCAGTCGAGCGAAGCCTGTGTACACGGTCTAAGTATGAGAATGACGGACCGTAGCATATCTCGCCGAAGCATGTCACGTATCTCACGGGTGTCAACGCGACGGGACATGGACATTCCTTCTATCTTAGCTTTTACAGCAACGGTTGCACCTGCACCGGTTAGTACACCTCTATATCTATCGTAAGCGAGAAGATATAACATGCTAAAAAAACAAGATTCTCGCGCTTGGGTTTGTCATAATATGAGCCTCATCCTCAGATGATCAGAGTCAAGGCAAAAAGAAATCATATAAGTAGACCGATGTCAGTAGGGTTTGGCTGCACGGATGGCCTAGTGGCTAAAGCGGTCACCTCGCCGCTTCCTACTGCGCTGACTAATTACTACAGCAGGCTAATTTAACATTGGCTGTGGTGTGAAAACATCTAGAATTAATAACCATTTCAATACTTTTAGGCGCCCCTTGGAATACCCGCGTTTCAAAAAGTAAATTCTGCATTGGATCAATCAGTTCCTAAATTTTCAATACGCCGATCAATTTGTCCCGTTTGCTCACAAAAGTGGAGAGATAAAAGTTCCATATCTAATATCAAGTATTCTGGTAAGTGTGACATGTAGTAAAGTCCTATAGAATAATTCCATAAAGCACTAAAATCCATTCATCTCTAAATCCGTAAGTAAATACGTAAAGGTAATGAAGTTAATGAAGAGAACTTCATCATCATCAACAGCCTATACTAGTCCACTGCTAGACATAGGCCTCTCCCTAGAAAGGAGGTTTTGGCCTACTATACCACGCTGGCCAGACGGGTTGGTATAGGGTTTGTTTCAAGTTTTCCTTCTCTTTGCAGTGCTGTTGTCCTTCTTAGTTTGTTCCCTTAGTCGGCTCTTACGACACCCACGGGATGAATTGGGGTGATGACAATTTGTATTCTTAATCCGTCACCACACGGACTTATAACACGAAATCCGACGTGATATATACCTTGACGACCATATTTGTTGTAATGTATTTGCATACACAGAAACATCTTTGCATGCATACCCACCCACCCAGGAACGTTTCTATCGAGTCTACTTCGTATACCGTATGTATACCATATACGTACCTATACTAAAACATTTCATATTTACAGGCTTAAAAAGAAATTCATCGGCTGAATTGCCAACAGTGATGGCGCCTGCAAGATTACGATCAGCTATCACAAGGGAATAGTGAGTCCGGCATTTTCATTAAAGACTTCATTTTTCAATAGTGTGTTTAGAAGATTTTGCTAATATATTTTTTTTTAACAACAATATGTACAATCTTTATTAAGCATAGTACAAATACAATAAATTAATGGTACAGTAATATTTAAATGTACTATGCTCCTGTTGAATTTTAATTAGCAATTGACATTTCAGCACTCCGCGTCCAATTTTAGCAGCGGTTGATGAAAATAAATATGTCGGTTGTATGCGCAACTCTAGTGCTTCGTGGCTGCTGACTAGAGCTCGTCGTTTCCGAACCCCTAAACTTCAAATGCCGTCTCCTGAAGCAGCTGCACCTCCTATCTCCACCGCACCAATGGCCATAAAAGATTTAGACACTCGTGTTAACCGATTTCTGACGGATGAAGGAATGAATAAATATCTAATTAATGCCGGTTATGTGTATCCAAAATAGGGATAAATTATATAAGCACTGTTTTGATATCATTATTAAAATTTATTATGTTATATAAATGCGTTTTTATTATTTATCATGAAGACAAATCGGAACGAAGCAGGAAGAACTGTCTAAATCCAGCATTACGAATTCTAGAGCATTTCGAAAGGTGAAAATTGTCTAGAATACTGAATCCGATAAATGATGGCAATCTATACCGATTTCTTTTTATAAATTTTCTAAAAATGAAACCTAGCTAGATCGATTAATCGCCCCCGTAGCCCCCTGCATACTAAATTTCATGAAAATCGTTGGGAGCCGTTGCCGAGATTCAGATTACATATATACAAGAATTGCTCGTTTAAACTTATTAGATATTAAAAAGATGTGAACGTCGACGCGCCAAAGTGTCGGCAAAAACTGTTGTTTTTTCGGTCACATTTTTCGGTCTCGCTCCCATCCACTCAGAGTGTGTAACGTGCGATAGTGGGCCGTGGGCCCTTCACGACCCGTGGCATCGCCATCATATTTGTCAATGCAACTTAAAAAAAAGCATTAACGTTAGTATGTCCATGTACCTAAGTGGTGTGTGCAGTGTCTTATTGTAAGGCATGATCTATATATCTATATATCCATTAGCATCATATATATCTGATATATACCTATCTATATTTTGGATAAAACAAATATTTTTAATTTTTAGATTATTTTAATATCTTATACTTATATAAAATTCTCGTGTCACAATGTTATTTACCTTACTCCTCCGAAACGGCTGGACCGATTTTTATGAAATTTTGTGTGCACATCGGGTAGGTCTGAGAATCGGCCAACATCTATTTTTCATACTCCTAAATGACAACGTTTTTTTAATATTTCCTAGAAATATTTTTTTATTTATTTATTTAACTTAATGCACTAGTTGTACACAGGCGGACTTAATGCCCAAGGCATTCTCTGCCAGTCGACCTTCGGGTGGTGTAGAAAAATGATGCTGTAGGTGCAAGAGAAAACAGAGAATTTGACTTGTTTATATTAAACTTATTAATTTAGCATAAATCAAACTTACATATATACACTATATACTATAAATACGGATACGGATACTAGCGATGTGACCTTTCTAACAACTTATTTTGTGGAAGTTCTTGTACTTTCTTCTTGAACGTAAGTGGACATCCTGATTTCAACTGGGAGTGCATTCCAGAGAAGAACTGACTGTTCATAGAAGGAAGAATTGATGAAGTTGGAAGTGTGAGGGGGGCAAAGAAGACCGAGGGGATTTCCGCACGGAAAAAAAAAAGGGGGGGGCAAAGAAGAAGCATATTATTTGTTGACCGAAGATTTCGGTCGTGATTGGAGCAAAGGAGGCGGAGATGGGGAACCAAGTACTCAGGTACCGATGGGGAATTAAGAAATGAAAAAAGATATGTTAGTGTGCGCAGACTGCGTATGACTGACTGACGAATCGGGAGCCATTTCAGTTGGGAACGTAAAGCAGACACATGGTCATACTTACGAAGATTAAAAACAAATCGAATGCAGTTATTAAGAAGTTTATTGAGGAGGTCTACATTCAGGTCAAGACTTCCCTTCGCGGCACTGTGCGACTAACGTGTGACTTCATATGCTAACAATTTAAATATTGTTTTCTGTGTTTTTCTGCGACTAGTTCCCGGTTTGCGGGCGGCTAAAGGTTGTGTATAGTGTTTTAAAGAATATCAGTAAGTTTTTATTGTTTTTTAAACAGAAATATAGTGCTGAATTATTTTATTACGACTATTGGTGAGTAAATTTATTTTCTTTCTAAAAGTGGGTAGGAGGTATCCTTTGTTTATATTGATTTTTCTCTGCGTATTGTTTATTTTTAAACTTGTTCCTTTTGAAATTGTTGTTTGGTGTGTCTTTGTTTGGCTATGTCGGTCGTTAGCGAGTTGCCGGACCCCGGCGGTACAAGTGAATTTCTAACACCAACCGGGAAAAGGACATTTAACGAAATGTCACCTACGGATTTCTCGCCGAAAGACAATAGAAGTAAACGAATTAATAATTCGGATTTAAGTGGAAATGTTTCGTCTCTTAACGGTCGTGATAACTGTGGGGAATACAATTACTGCGAGTTAGTCTCACAGGCTACCGAGTACTTGGCAAAAATCAATGAATTAGTTAATGATCAGGGATCTCGGATGAATGTAGGTAATAAAACGGCAATTATGGATATTACTCAACGAATTACCGGTATCGTATCTTTGTTAGCAATAAAATCCTCTAGCAACGAAACGAAGTTAGCGAATTTTGAGCGACAAATGGAGGGTATCGCAACTCAACAAACGAGTTTAACGTACGCGGACAAACTTAAGCTTCGATTACCACCTAAATCTGCTCCGTGCCCGGTACCTACTGAAGCGCGCGTTCCTAGGCCTTGTGTTATTGCCTATCCCACTACGGAACGCTTAGCGGACTATGCGACCTCGTCAGCAACGAAACAAGCTCTCATGAAGGCTATTAAACCGAGCGATGAGGGATTTCAAATTGTAGGCGTTAAAAAAACCTCTAAGGCGGGCGTCGTGTTACGTGTAGCTAACGAACGGCAGCTTAAGAAACTGGAATCTGTGGACGCCATTAAATCAGTAGGGTTGCGCTTAGAAAAACCGAAAGGCCGTAGGCCCCGTATAATTGTAAAAGACGTACCCGGTTCTATGGAAGATCGTGCCTTCCTAACAGCTTTATACCGTCAGAATATCAAGGACGAATTAAAATTAAGTGAGAATGATTTTATTAAGTCAACCAAAATTGTTAGGCATCGTAAACTAGAAAATGGGCGTCAATGGATAGGCTTAGAATTAGAGGCAGCAGTTCGGAAACATCTAGCCAACACAAAAGATAAACTTTATATAGACTGGGCCACATGTAGATTCATAGACGATATAGAAGTAGTTCGTTGCTTAAATTGTCAGCAATTCGGTCATGTACAAAAGTTTTGCACTATTAAAACCCCTACTTGTGCTAATTGCGCCGCCGCACACGAAACGCGAGCTTGTCCAGATAAAGACACACCAGATTTTAAGCCCACGTGCGCACAGTGTAAGCGGTTCAAAAAACCATCTGACCATCGATGCGGCTCATACGACTGTGCCACATACAAATTAAAACTGGAACAGCTAATATTAAATACCAATTACTGAATAGTTTAACTTAGTTTAAAAAAAAAAAAAAAAAAAAAAAAAAAAAAAAAAAAAAAAAAGTTTAAAGAGTAACTTACTAAGTAATGAATAATATTTCGATAGGCCAGTTAAATCTTCATAACGATAAAATAGCTACATCAGAATTAGACCGTTTAATTTTAGAACAAAAGTTAGACATTGTCCTTTTACAAGAACAATATCAGAGCGCTCACTTGCGTCGTAATGTAGTACAGCTTGACTGCCGTTCGCAGGCTGGGATATATGTTGCAAGTTCTAATTTTACGGTAACATCTTTGCGTAATCTTATGACGTCACACTGCGCCGTTGCTGAGATCTCATCCTCTACCTGTAAGGTTTACGTAGTGAGCTGCTATTTTCAATATTCACATCCTATTGATCCTCACTTACATCACTTACGTTACGTCTTGCAGTTCCTCGTGGGACATAAAATTATCATTGGCGCTGATGTCAATGCGTCATCTTCATTATGGTATGGCAAGTTGCGTTCAACCGACACGGTTCGACGTTGTGCGGTTGAAGATTTCATTGCGGAAATGAATCTTATTATTCACAATACCCCCGATGCACCACCAACTTTTTGCAACCCAATGGGTGAGTCTTCTATTGACGTGACGCTTACGCGCGGCGACGTCTCGATATCCGGATGGCGTGTCCTTCCGGACGCATCCTGTAGTGATCACCGCTTGATCGTGTACGAATTCACACCAAGGGTTGCACAGGATCCACAAAGGGTTCCCTATAATTTTAGATATAAAACTAAAGGTGCGAACTGGGCTTTGTTTGGTTCACTCTTTGCAACTCATACCAAAGACTTCAGTCGCAGTAGTTTATCAGCTGAGGAAAGCGCAGAAATACTATCAGAAACTTTTACATACTGCGCTGATGTAACTATTGGTCGCGGATCTATCACTAACACTCGTAGATGTGATTGGTGGAATGATAGATTAGCCGAACTACGTAGAAGCTACCGGAAAGCTCGTAGAAAATTAAACACTATTAAAAAACATAACGTAACAGGAGATTTGTACAACATTGCTCTCATTGCTCTTAGAGTTGCCAGGTCCCACTACAGAGCTGCTGTGGAAAAATCCAAGGGAAACTTAATTCAGAAACTTGTTAATAAACTCGATAGAGAGGGCCCGTGGTCACCTTTGTATCACGAATTTAAGGCAAATAGATCAATCGACCACGCATACATACAGAACATCAAAATTAATAACAGATATACCACAGGAGTAGAACAAACAGCAGGATATCTTTTAGACTCACTCGTACCTGACGATCGACCGGAAAACGACACAGATCATCACCGACAGATCAGGCAGTGGGCCATCGAACCACCACTGTCTCCAATGTCTGATTTACCATCTTCAGACGAATTTCTCGGTATCATTAGATCCTTGCCGCTAAACAAGGCTTCGGGTGATGATAAAATATCTAACAAAATGATAAAAGAAGCTTGTAAACTTTCGGGTGACACGATTTTCACTGTCTTTAAACGTTGCATTGCTGAAGGAATATTTCCTCGTATATGGCGGTGCGGTAATATTCGTATAATACCAAAAAGTGGCGACAAGCCACCGGATGATCCTAAATCCTACCGACCAATCACATTGTTACCATCGTTAGGAAAGCTTTTAGAACGTCTTGTAGTGCCCCGGCTTCTGCCAGGTGGAGTCAAATTTCATGATAGACAATTTGGATTTACGTTGGGTAAATCGACAACTGACGCTGTTATATCGGTTAGAAAGTTTGTCACAGAGTCAAAATTTCAATACGTGCTGGCTATTTTCTTAGATATATCTGCCGCCTTCGACAACGCATGGTGGCCCATGCTGTTGCTGAAATTAAAATCACGGGGGTGTTTTAAAAATATTTATTCCCTTATCTCTTCGTACTTTTCACAAGGTACAACTAAACTAAGACTTGGTCATCATTCTGTGTCGAAGGCGCTTACAATGGGATGTCCTCAGGGATCGGTGCTAGGTCCATACTTGTGGAATATCGGCTTCGACGATTTTCTTACGATACCAATACCATCCGGATGTACTCTGAACGCGTATGCTGATGACGGCTTATTACTGGTGGAATCTGATACTAGGGCGGGGCTTGAGAGATTAGCCAATAGATGTTTGAACTTGATATCTCAATGGGGTGAACGTAATCGCTTAACTTTTGCACCCAACAAAACCTTCCAGTTACTTTTAAAAGGTAACCTCAAATCACCGCCGAGCATTAGATTTGACAATGTTACTGTAAAAAATAAAACCACAGTGTGTTATCTAGGATTAGTTTTAGAAAGAAACTTTTCATTTATCGAACATATTAAAATAGTTAATGAAAAGTCTAAAAAGAGTTTCTGTGCATTGACAAGGGTATCAACTGCGACATGGGGTCTATCATTTAATACATTAAAGATCATATACGGAGCTACTTATTTAGGTTCTATGTGCTATGGTGCACCTGTGTGGGCCGATAGGGCGACCGTAGGCGCTGTCCGTCGCAAACTGTTACAAGGCCAACGACTTGCACTGATATTTTTGTGCAAGGCATATAGGACGGTTAGCACTGAGGCTTTGCCGGTGTTGGCAGGTGTCCTTCCGGTCGATCTCGAGGTGCAGAGACGTGCAGCCATGTACTATTCAAGACAAAACATGGAATGCGATTTCTTGGGCGCGCGGGATCGCGGTAAAATTACAAGATTGCTTCAACAGCAGTCCGATGTCTATAATGACCTCATAGACGAATGGCAGCAACGCTGGGACGAATCATCCAAGGGGCGCCATCTTTACCAATTTTTTCCATCTGTTCGCGAACGGTTGTCGAGGACATGGCTTGAGGTGGATCACTGTGTCGCTCAATTTCTTACGGGTCATGGTAACTTTAAGAGCAAGTTGTATTCATTTAAATTAGTCGAGTCACCATTGTGTCAATGCTCAACACCTAACTCTCATTATGAACAGTCTGCTCATCATATCCTCTGGGAATGTAGTCTTTGGTATAATGACCGTAATATAATGCTGAATAGCTTGCAGGTGACATCTGGGGCGGTATACTATGGGGATCTTGTGTCAACTAGGGTGAATTTCCGTGCGTTTAGGCGATTCTGCCATACATATTATAGAAATCAAATATAGCTCATGTAGGACCCGTAATATTTTGTGGCCGTGGTGCTTCCCTGTTTAAAAGGGTGTATGCCTATTTCACTTCATTTTGTCTCCCGCTTTGCTAAGGAGGGAAGTGGATTTACTGTATTTCCAACTCCTCCAATTTTCTTCTGATTAATTTCGTTGCGGGTTCCAAGACAGTTTAATTTCTTCCTGGGACTTCCCGAGTGTCATAACTCGGTGTGTTCGTGGGTCACTGCTGTGGATCCTGGTGTACAGGAGTTACAGTGGTGGGCGTGTGGGTGGGATTAGTCCCAATAAAATTCAGGTCAAGACAACACACATCACTATAATCGATTAAGGGAGTAATAAGGGACTGCATAAGCCTACCCTTGGTTTTAGTGGGCAGAAAATTGAGACGATATAAGGCGCGAAGACATGTAGTGACTTGCTGGCCGACGTGGGTGACTTGTGCTCTCCAGTCAAGTGTCGAGTCAATATGTAGCCCTAGGTTCTTAACCACTGGGCTCAGAGGTATGATTATGTCGTTAAAAACAACTGGTGGTATGGCCGTCATGTCCAACCTACTTAACATCTGTTTGCTACCTATGACGATCACTTGACATTTGGTTGGGTTAACCGACAAACCAAACTTCATCGACCAGCCCCTTATGAAGTCCAAATCTTTGTTAACTTTATCAATGGCGTGTGAAATGTCTTCAACTCTCGATTGGGCCTAAATTTGCAAGTCATCTGCATACAGGTGATACGCACACTGAAGGTGTTGGGTTATGAGATTAATAAATATTGAAAATAATAACGGAGATAATATACCGCCTTGAGGGACGCCAGTGAAAAGATCACACCAACTCGATGACAAACTGTCAGTACGAACAAACTGTTGTCGTCCCTGAAGATAGGAGGAATAATGTATGCGGCTATCGTGCGGACCGAGAGTGCGTGGAACTCTGCCGTCTCCTTCTGCGAGCAAGTTATGCTCGCGAAGGAGACGGCGGAGCGGGACCGGGAGAGGTTTAGAACTCTCCCAGCCCACCAGGCCCGGGGACGGGCCAGGTACCGCAGGCGACTAAGGCGCCGAAGGTCGCAGAACGACCTCCGTCCTCCATAAGCGCAGGCCTGGGGGTGACAGGTGAGGCCATCTGTCACCCTAGCAGAAGCAGGCCGGGGTGGCGACGAGCGCGTTGCGAAGCGCGCTCGCTTCCAGGGATCAGAGGGAACATGGGGTTCCCACACGGGGGGGGTCGTCTACTTGTTGTAGATGGCCCGAGGTATGTCTCGGGGCACCAGGGACTTCCTTTCTAGGGTATACCTTGTTCCCCGGCTATTAGTACCCGAGACGGCGTGCGGTTTTAGTCGGTTCGGGTCCGACATGCCACCGATAGGTGGTATCCGAGGGGATTTCCGCACGGAAAAAAAAAGGAGAAATAATATGGCAAAACAACGTTTGCAGGGTCAGCTAGTTAATACATAATTTATTGAATTGGGGTCTACCAATAAGAACGTCCTGGTTTAAAAATTGAATAAAACACACAATTTTTTATGAAAAATGCATCCGATTGATTTATTTGATAGATAATTTTATGCAATTTATGTTTTAAATAATATATCGGCCAAATGGCTGTACATATGCTTATGCTTACAACAGTTTGTATAACGTGATAGTAAATTTATAATGGATTTTTTATATTTATATATTTTAAATACCTACTATGAATGCTTCAATGATTCAGGCGATTGTGTAACAGTCAAAACTAGATATGAGGTTATTTACATGACCTTTCATAACTTTTGAATTAGAACCTCCTTTGAACACTAGACCAGGTATTAATGTCACATTTAAGCTGTAATGTCTATACATTTTATTTTTTATATTTTTTTTGCTTTATCATATCGCTTTCTACTTAATTATTTTCAAAATCCATAACAAATTATTTTTTATAAATTAATGAACTGCATTTCACAGTTTGTGACAATCATCGGTTGGTAGCATAGATGCATAGATATATATGCACTATAAATCCAAGACGTGTTGGTAGCTTGTTGTCAGTGTCAAATAATGTTTTTACAAAGTTTAATTTTTATATTAAATAAATATCATAAAATTTTGACGTTCCTATAGGTTATGGCTCTTGTTTCACAAACGAAAACATTGTTGTCTGCAACAAGCTGTACAAACCCCACAAGAACTATGGCGAACTTAACCGCAATAGAACTGGTTTATGAAAAATTCGGGAACCCAACAGATGTTATTCATATGAAAGAACGCAAAGTGCCTGAATTAGGCAAAGATGATGTAATGGTCAGAATGCTGGCAGCACCAATAAATCCTGCCGATATAAACACTATACAAGGTATGTGACTGCAGTCTGCATATGTTTAAATTCGTTCTTCTTCTATGAAGGAGACCCCGGCGTCCCCTGACTCTTGATACGAACTCGTTACAGAACATCGTTTGGTGGTAACTAGTGCGTCTGGACCTAGCATTTTCAAAATTTTATTCCACCCGAGGGAGGTTTTGGCTCTACAATCCCATTTATCTGGGACAGCATGTATAAAATAAATGCATATTTATTTAAGGTTTACGTTTTAGGAAAATACCCAGTTAAAATAAATCTCCCAAGTATACCAGGCAACGAGGGCGTAGGACTTGTAGAAAAAGTCGGTAAGGATGTACAAAAGCTTTCTCCAGGGCAGAAAGTCATCATTATAAAACCAGGCCAAGGCACTTGGAGAAACCTTGCTGTTTTCAATAAGGATGTATTAAAATTAGTGCCGGATCAGTTAGGCTTAGCCGAAGCTGCCACTTTGACAGTCAACCCTTGCACTGCATATAGAATGCTTAGTGATTTCAAGCCCGTACGTGAAAAGTGTCAAGTAGTCATACAAAATGGAGCTAACAGCGCCTGTGGACAGTGTGTTATTCAATTATGCAAAACTTGGAATATCCCGAACGTCAACATAGTTCGAGACAGACCCGAAATCAATGCATTAAAAGATTTTTTGATAAATTTAGGAGCCACTCATGTTTTAACTGAAAAAGAACTTAAATCTACCGATATTTTTAAAAATAAAGTGATCAATAAACCTGTTCTTGCTTTAAACTGTGTTGGTGGTATGAACGCAAGGCAAATGATAAAACACTTGAATCATTCTGCAAGTATGATAACTTTTGGCGGAATGTCAAAAAAGCCTGTCACGATTCCAACACCCGCTTTTATTTTCAAAAATTTGTCGTTCTTTGGTTTCTGGATGACTGCATGGCAAGAAAAAGCTACTAAAAGGGACAAGGACAAAATGTGGTTAGAAATCATAAATTATATGTGTGAAAAGAAATTACATGCGTCTGCGAACAAATTGGTAAAATTTGACTCCTACAAGGAAGCGTTAAGCAATTCTCTTACATCCCAAGGGTTTACAGGATGTAAATATATTTTGGATTTCGGAAGCAAAAATTGACGCGTTCTGCTTCTATATTTGTCTTTCAAACATAGCAATGCAAGTTATTAAAAATTATATTCCTATTTTTTTGTTTCACTTAATAAAACACTTAAAAGCAATAAAATTTAATAAGTAACAAGCTTCGGTTCGGTTCGGTTTGTACTATCAGATGCGGTCCGAACGGTCACAGGGGACATGACCCCCCTCCAAAATTGTGCACGCCAAATTGAAAAAAAAAACTTAAAAATTTACAAAATAAAAAAAGGATTTTTCATGCTTTTCCTTGGTTGTGAATGTTGTGAGAGTACTTGTGACTGAGAACGAAAATAAAATAAAAGTGTAAAATTAATTATTACTAATTTGATTTGATGATCAGAGCGTTGATTAATGATAATTTGCTAATAATGGTAAGTAATTTTAATATCTAGGGTAAGTTCTTATTTTTATATGACTCTTTCGTTGTGTGGGTGAGTTTATAGGATAGGTATTGCGCTTTTAATAACTTGGATGAAGTTGTATGAAGCTCGAATGAAAGGTTAATACGAGTAAGATCGCGTCACGCGTATCGCCTATTTCCCACTTAATCATGGAATTTAAGTTCATTTATTTTAGTAAAAAACATAAATCTTAACTGAAACCATAACTGCTTCAATTTTCGTATTATAGTTTTAAAATTTTTCATGAAAACTGTTTAAGAGTTTTTTAGTTTTAAGTGAGTTATGATGTGACATTACTCGAAATAATCAGTGGGTAGGTTAGGTTTTGGCCAAGAATCTTTTTATTTATCTATTCTATGAAAATATTTAAAAATGCGAGGGCTAAAAGCGATCTGTGCTCGATTAATTGAAAATTTAAAATATTTACATTATATTATTTGTCAACTAAAATCATAAAAATACTTTCATTGATAAATCTCATAGAAATACTTCATACTACTTAATAGTTAGTTCTCATACTAATATTGCTATTACAAAGAAAAACTCCTACCTACCCTAACTTAAAGTGAACGGTAGGGTAAAATAAACCCTTTTAAAAAAAAAGTTGAACCGACTTCAAACAACACCGACAAAGAGCACTAAAAATTAAAAAAAAATACAAATCTAAGTAAAAAACTATAATAAGTACCCTCAATGTAACAAGTAACATTATAATACCAATAGTCCCTTCTAGTCTGTTTGAAGTCGGTGCCAAGCTCGATGCACAATAAGTAATACTGTAATCAGTGGTACTCAATCACTTTTTTTATTTTAACACTACTACCACGGTACAATTATAATACAGTACCTAGTGTAACTCGGCCGCATGATAGAAATAAATGCCTACAGCCGCGCGGTACGTAAACATGCGTTAGGGCTGCCCGTCTCCAGCATTTTAATTATATTTGCCTACTTTCTGTTTCTATTTAGATTTGTGATTGTAAATATCCTTTTTATATAAATAAATGAAATACTTTGTATATTGAATAGGAAGTGTTCAATAAAAATGCGTGTTGTTTTTTGATTGGTAGATTTAATTATTTTATTTTCTTTCTGCATTGGAGGAGTTCAAGTTGCATGGAGGTGCATTGGAGAGACTCGTTGAGATTTGAGCAAAGATTTCATTTGTTGCATTTTCAGTCTGTGTACTATTTTCATTTCCTACCAACGGAGCAGTTTGGGTTTGTTTATCTTCTTTTAGAGAGACTCCTGGATCAGTACTAGCTAAGCTTGGCAGCATCAACAATGGTAGGGCATTATTTTTTTAAAGTTTTCTATTTGATGAATGTAATACATCCTCCAAATTAAAATGTTTTTCACAAACTTGGTAGGAACTAAAGTTAGGTTTGTTTTCCAAATCATCTCGCCGGATCAGTTGCAACCATTGAAGACGTCTGAAAAAAAAAATACATGTGGCACTCTCGGAGACTGCCGCGGTAAAGCTGTTGCATAACATTTTTTTTAAAGAAAAGAATCTGCGTGGTGTCAGGTATTTTTCGTTAGGTTTTGAGAATTTCTTGATTCGGTCACCGCGCCGCGCCGCGCTCAGAGCCCGCGATAAAAGCTATGCAATAGCTTAAAAATCCTTCTATAAAATAAAAAAAATGTGCTTTCTCCATACGCGTTACAAAACTCCAATCCTTAGAAACTCCAACACCTCAACTAGAATGCAAGAAACAGCTGACGAGTAAGTAACTTTTTATCTCAGCTTATTAACGTCTCCATAAATTAGGTACCTACCTACAACTCGCAACAACTCAAAACAAAAATTCTTTGGTCACCAACTAATTAATTATTAAAAAGCTGAACAGCTGACTACGAATGTTTTAAAATCACAACCCTCAAACATCTAAATATTATATACGAGTCTAGCTGTTGTTGTTCATACCGAGAAAATAAAACCAGTGTTTAGTGGTATATGTTGTTATAGTAGCAGCAGAAACACTTAGTGAAAATTTCGAAAACTATCTAATGACACACAGACGGTAAAAAAAAATTTCTAGTATTATTCATACACACAGATAATAAACAAATATTATTAATAATAAAATACCACGTCTTTACTTTGAATTATGCAAAGTTCACTCGTCTCAATAACTCTCTCTCTATATTCGCTTTATTTATTAATCCAAACACCTTTTTTTCCGTGAGATAAAAGGAAATACTTATCCATTAAAAAGACACATATTATGTACCTACCTACTAGTAAGTATAATTATTATTTTATTAATTATTATTAAGTAAAGTAAAATTATTATAGTGTTACCTTTCAGAGTTTCCAGGTAATTTAAAAAAACTTATGTCTGGATGCGTTATTGACGAATTCATACAACCAAAAACAGCACAATATTTCCTACTCGTCATATTAACTGATTTTTAGAGAAAAAATCGCGCGGTTATTGTTAAAAAAACAACACACCGTCCGTTCGACACTGCGGTACAGCCGTGACTGTCTGCGTCCCGAGCGCACCCCGAGATCGAGGCGCGTAGGTATAGCTCGCGTTTCGTCCGTTTGTATGAAGTTGGAGTACTGTATTATAATCGTACCGTGCTACTACTTTTGTAAGGCTAGTCTGTTTTATGTTTTTAAGCTCTCTTTATGGTGGATAAAAATCAAGGTCCTCAGTCAACACGATAAAAAGATATGGGCAAATTTAGATTTTCGCGAAAACTTGTAAGTTCCAAAATTTACCTTAATTTTACTTACTTGTGCTATAAGACCTTGCTTTTAACCAAAATTGTCAATTCTAGGTTAAGCGGAAGTACCCTATAGGTTTTGGATCGAAAACCTATATGGTAGTTCCCGTTGACATAGAATCACGAAATTTGGCAGAAAGCAAGGTCTTACAGCACAAATAAAGGGAAAATTAAAAAAAAGTTGGAAATTATTATAGATAATGGTACGGAACACTTCGTGCACGAATCCGACTCGCACTCGCCCGGTTTTTTTTAAGAAGTTCTATTCGTCACTAGATGACTAAACTATGTAATTCAAACTAAAAATACAAAGGTACGTAAAGCTTAGTTTTAGTCAGATAATACTGAAATTTGTTCTGCATTTAGTCCTAAAGAATTTTTAATACCTACATATTTTTCAGTTGGTTTCTAATTAAAACAATTTATACATTGGTAAAATCTCCTTTAGAAATTACTTCCTATCTATTCGATAGATGGCGCTGAATGACTGACAAGTGACAATTCAAAATAAATACTGAGATGAAAAGTACTGATTTCCTATCTATTCGATAGATGGCGCTGAATGACTGACATAAAAAAGTGTCGTTACAACTTTTCGTGAGATTTTTTTCCGTCTAGCCCCCTTTCACAACGCGCGATAAGGAACTTCGTTCCAAAAATTGAGATATAGTCGCAGTTTTGTCACCTACAACAATAGGGGAAATGTGAAATACCTATGATAGGTTAATTTGAAGATATCGCGTTTTGATTGACGTTCAACATAAAATAACATAAATAACAAATTATTTATTTAATCTCAACCTAAATAAAGTAGAATTCTGGAACTGCATCCCAAAATTTACAGAATGTGTGTTTCTGCAATAGAAATTGATAAAACCATGTTAGTCTACTGCTGTAGTAAATTACCTACTGTTTCGAAACATTATGATTCTACTTACTATTTTACGAAATCCTAAGCCTGTTATGAAAAATTTTGACATTTAAAACTAGTGTTTTTCGATCTCAAACCATATCATTACTTGTGTCGATACATATCAAACTCGCCTAAGTCCAGTACCGGTCATTTCAAGATTTATTTATTTATTCGATTCAACAAAAATAAATGATTATTTTCGCTTTAGATCAATCCAGTCTAAGTTCTCTGCTTCCTAAATAAATTAAGGGCGAAAATTGATAAATTTTTTCAATCCCACCTAAGTCACTCATGCATTTCACATCAAACGAAACCAAGTCCATTTCAACCAATCACACGTCGCCTTTACTCAATCATTGCCGCCATTCTTGTTTATTCCACGTGCTAGTGATACCGGCGCTCTGTGTTTTTATTTGAATTATGGACAATTTAATAAAAGTTGTGCCTCCAGAGTTAGCAAAGAAGAAGCAGAGGAAACGCTTAAATGATAATATTAAGAAAAATGGACAAAATCGGTAAGTGTGGGCGTAATACATTCTTATTTCATAACAAGATCCTACGTCGGCTCAGCGACGTCTTAACCGTGAACAGGGCCGGACTATTGGGAATTTTCGTTTGGACTATTTTCGTTCGAACTTATACAGCGTTTTTTAATGTGGAAGATTTTATATATTTATAAATATTTCTAATACTAATAATATAAAGCTGAAGAGTTTGTTTGTTTGTTTGCTTGAAAGCGGTAATCTCAGGAACTACGGCTCCATTTTGAAAAATTCTTTCAGTTTTAGATAGCCCATTTCTCGAGGAAGGCTATATATATCATCACGCTATGAGCCACGGGAGCGGAGCACTAGCCTTAGTTAGCAGTAGCTCTAGGAACCTATAAATGTATTAGTATTGAAATGTAAAAGTGTCCTAATAAGTATTTCTAAATCCGTGGCCGAAGTTTTCATGGCCGAACGGCTCCCAATTTACGCATAGTTGACTTATCAAATTCTGTAATGGAATTTTAAACGGCGTTAATATGTTGACTTGCTATTCTTAATCAGAATTTATTAATTTTCTTACAGGTACTTGGCGAAATCTTTACCCAAAAAGCCCACATGTAAGCACATCAAAAAAGGCAAATACAAATGTGAATCTTTAACGTCTAATACAATTTTCTACTTCCATCAGAAGTTTTATAGCAGTCACAAGAAAATTGATCAAGATAATTTTATTCTCAAATATACATCTACAAAGCCAGTACAACGAAAACGATCAAGAACAAACATCAGGACTCCAAAATCTTATTCTAATCATTTTTTTATTCTCGACCGCAAATCTAAGAAACTTGTACCAGATTGCCTTCAAGCTTTTTGTGATGTTTTAAATATAAAACAAGGGAGAATAAAAGGCGTCACTAAAAGATTCGCAGAAAGTGGGACTAGTGCATCAGAGAGAAGAGGTGGTGACCGAAAAGTATTTGCATTTAGATCAAAATTGGAATCGGTCCAGAAATTTATTATGAAATTTAAACCATTGGATTCTCATTACTCTAGGGGCAAGATAAATCAGAGAATTTATTTAGATCCAAGTCTTAATATTACTAAAATGTACAAAATGTATGAGGATCAAGTCACACCCGGATTTTCAGTGACGAATTCCTATTTTAGAAAAGTGTTCAATACATCTTTTAATATAGGATTTGGAACACCACGACAGGATGTGTGCTCCGATTGCCTTCAACTTTTAGAAAAACTTAAAAGATGTCCAAACGGCATTGAAAAGGAAAATATACGCGCACAATACATAATCCATAAGACTAGAGCGAAATGCTTTTTTCAGCTTTTGAAAGATGAAGATCCGGATATACTCATAATTTCCTTTGATTGTCAAAAAAATCTACCTATGCCTAGGGTACCAGACCAATCAACATATTATTCGAGGCAGCTATATATTTATAATTTTACAATTGTTGTGGGCAAATCAAAGTCAAATTTAACACCTGAAAATGTCTTCTCCTATGTTTGGACTGAGGACAAGGCACCAAAAGGCTCCAATGAAATAGCATCCTGCGTATATCACTGCTTAAAAAGTTTTAATATGGAGGGAAAAAAGATTATCAGACTGGTAGCCGATGGCTGTGGTGGCCAAAATAAAAACTCCATTTTGATTGGAATGGTATCTAAGTGGCTTCTGGAGACGCAAAAGAATATATCTAAAGTAGAGATAATTTTCCCAGTTACAGGCCATAGTTTTATTCCTCCCGACAGAGTGTTTGCTATTACCGAAAAAAAAATTCGGCGTCTAGAAAACATTATAAATCCAAATGAATATATTAATTTGATGGCCCATAATGCTACTATTCATCATGTTGTAGATGAAATTCCCGTACTGGATTGGAAGGAAGCATGCAAGAACGTGCTTAAAAATACACAGAGCCTGCACTTCCAAATAAGTGAATGTAAGGGTATATATATTGAAAAGGTGTCGCGAAAAATTCTGGTACGTGGTGAAGTGTCCTACAGAAATGACATATGTCCACTTTTACCCATTACAAAGAGAGGTAAAAAAATATCACAAATATTACCTGACAGAATAAATCACAGTGTCACCATAAAAAAAGAGAAGCTTGACGATGTTAATAAATTATTAATAAAACACTTCGGAGAGCAGTGGCCAGGAATACCGGAGTTAAATTATTTTAAAAAGGTTCTAGCCCTTCCCGGCGATGATGCTGAAAGTGCGGACGGTGAAGAAGTGGATGACTTTATTCCTGAAGAGATATTTGATTTTGTTTAGTTAATTGTTCTTGTTTTGATTTCAATATTTTAATCATTAGTATGTAAGGCAAACTGTGATTCGTGTCAGATCTCATTTATATAATAATTAATTCAAATAAGCAAAAGATGATAAATACGTCAATAAATATTTTTTTGATAATATTGCGTTTTAATTTCCTGAGTCCGTGCCCTAATCATTAAGTCATATCAAACTCGCCCTAGTCCTATTGCAATATTTCAAACTCGCCCAAGTCCAATGCCTTAGTTTTCAATATTGACCAAGTCTGTAAGTATTATATCAAATGCGCCTAAGTCCTGATAAAACTCATCGAAAATCTATGTTTACAATGAGAATTTATTTTTCTTTCTATTTGTTAATGTTGCCAGGCTTAATATTCATAGCATCAATTAATAATTTCAGCTTTTACCAGCTAAAACTACCAACTGCAAAAAATCACCATTATCTGAAAAATGTATAAGTGTGACTTGGGCGTTATTGATATATATCGACACACTTAATGCGCAATAAAAGGTTTACATGACATATCGCCAGTGGCCATAGACAATTAACTAAAATGTATCGTATCGTAGATCGTACCACAAAAATATATTATACTAGCTGTATGATGCCCCACTTTGTTGTGGTTGTGGCACATTGTGGTTGCAAAAATCAGATTAAAACCACATCTAAAGCGTGTCGTATATCATGTCAAAATTTGATCTGAATCAGTTCCGAACATTTTGAGTTATTGAAGCATACACAAACTAACTTTGGTAAAGTATACCTTGATACTTTAGGGGGTTATAGTACCATAATTACTAAGTTTTCACTATGAAATACCATATCCCAAACCTAACCATTTTTAAAATATTGGACTTTTAAGATTTTTATAAATATGCATGGAGGCCAAGTTTTTAACTACTATCATAGTTACCTGTGATAAATCATATGATTTATAAATCATATCATCACAGCGGTGACTGATTTACAAAACCACTGCTACTTAATTATTGTTATTCACATCACATCATCACATCAACAGCCTTTAGAATTTTTCTAATTATTATTATTACGCTAGCGCAAGACTCGCTATAATCTCTATGATCATTGATTTGGGTACAAAGACTTTGGCTATTGTGACAAGTCCTATGAAGAAACATGTCAGCTTCTGTCAGCTGACATTGACTGCTGACAGACACAAACTGTCAATCGAAACAAAATCTGATCGAGGTGAAATACAAGAAATTTCTTACAAATTAAATTATTAGTATTTTGCTTTTTCCTAATTCAATCCATTTTACCACAATGATATTTTCACATATAAATCTATTTAAGACAAAGGGTAATGCAATATCCTGCATGTTCAAAGAAGTCAAGCGCAATTTAATTTCAAAACAATTGATGTATACTCAATTTGGTGATCCTTTGGAAGTTGTGAAGATAAGAGAATGTGAGGTGCCTCCTCTTGGCCAGCAGGATGTACTTGTCCGCATGTTAGCAGCACCAGTGAATCCTGCTGATATAAATACCATACAAGGTACTTACAAACTTGTGTAATAAGTTTTTTGTTTACACTTAAAAGCTACTTTTAAATCTAAAATGAAGAAGTACTAAGAAGGTATTTTTTTTCCTTTTTGTTATTTGTTTTGAATTTAGGATATAAAAAATATTGATGTTTAATTTCTAATTACAGGTAAATACCCAGTTAAAATAGAATTGCCTATTGTGGCAGGTAACGAAGGTGTAGGTATAGTAGAGGAAGTAGGCCAAGATGTAAAGGGGGTTCGGCCAGGTAACAAGGTCATAGTCACAACATCAAAACAAGGCACTTGGCGAGACATAGCTATATTCAATAAAAATGTACTCAAAGTAGTTCCCGATAACATAGGTGTAGTAGAAGCTGCAACACTGACTGTCAATCCATGCACTGCTTACAGAATGCTAAGTGACTTTAAACCAGTGAGAGAAGAGGGTTTAGTTGTCATACAGAATGGAGCCAATAGTGCATGCGGGCAAAATGTAATTCAATTATGTAAAGCATGGGGTATTAAAAACATTAACATAGTTAGGAACAGGCCTGAAATTACTGATTTAAAGACATATTTGACAAATTTAGGCGCTACTTATGTATTGACAGAAGAAGAGCTTCGATCCACAAATATATTTAAGGATAAGTTAATAGAAAAACCAATGCTGGCACTGAATTGTGTTGGAGGGAAGAGTTCCTTAGAAATGCTACGACACCTACAACATTCTGGAAGTATGGTCACTTATGGAGGCATGTCCAGAGAACCGGTTACAATACCAACATCTGCCTTTATTTTCAAGAATGTCTCCTCCTTTGGCTTTTGGATGACTGCATGGAGTGATAAAGCTAATGCTAATGAGAAAGATAAGATGATGACAGACCTCATTTCGTTAATATGTGATCAAAAAGTGAAAGCACCTATTCACAAGATGGTAAAATTTGATCATTATGTGGAGGCCTTAGGAAATGCTCTAACATCTAAGGGATTTACAGGGTGTAAATATGTTTTAGATTTTAATTCTTAATCTATAGATTTCGTCATTGTTTGTACATGTAGATTTATTCTAGATTAGCTAGATAGTTAATAAAAATAAAATGGAAAACAAATATAAATTGTTTTAGTTTATATTTTATTTATAAAGATTATAGTTATAAATGTTTATATATTTATGTAAAGAATTAATGATTATATGTCTAAACATAAGATAAGTAGGAAGGTGTTTTGTAATATAAAGTAGATGGAAATTTTGTTGTGTTGTATTAAGGAGTTTACGGCTAGTATAAGTCCAAACAATTCCTGGTGAAACTACATCCGGTCAAGCCGATCAGAAATAGCATACCAGTCGACGATTCGAATCGTTTTAGTTTTAATGCGCTCCAGAAGAAGTCGCTGGATTGCCCCTTTTTTTTTTTTTTTTTTTTCCGTGCGGAAATCCCCTTGGATACCACCTGTCGGTGGCATGTCGGACTCGAACCGACTAAAACCGCACGCCGTCTCGGGTACTAATAGCCGGGGAACCAGGTATACCCTAGAAAGGAAGTCCCTGGTGCCCCGACATACCTCGGGTCATCTACAGACGAGTAGACGACCTTCCCCCGTGTGGGAACCCCATGTTCCCTGTGCTCCCTGGAAGCGAGCGCGCTTCGCAACGCGCTCGCCGCCACCCCGGCCTGCTTCTGCTAGGGTGACAGATGGCCTCACCTGTCACCCCCAGGCCTGCGCTTATGGAGGACGGAGGTCGTTCTGCGACCTCCGGCGCCTGAGTCGCCTGCGGTACCTGGCCCGTCCTACCCGTACCGTACTCGTACCCGGCCGAGTCCTAAACCTCTCCCGGTCCCGCTCCGCCGTCTCCTTCGCGAGCATAACTTGCTCGCAGAAGGAGACGGCAGAGTTCCACGCACTCTCGCTCCGCACGATAGCCGCAATCAGGCTATCGAGCGAGAGAACTCCCACTCCGATGGGCGCCACGAGGTCTCGCCTCTGCTCAACCCACGCCGGGCACTCTGCCAGCGTGTGGAGAGCCGTGTCCACGGTCTGGCCATCGCAGTGGTGGCACTCAGGCGTTGGCTCCTTGCGGATCAGACACAGGTGATCCCCGAAACATCCTTTCCCAGTGATCACCTGCGTCAGTCGGTATGAGAGGGTCCCGTGACGCCTCTCGAGCCAATCCTCCATAACGGATCTTACCGCCGCGATGACGGCGTGCCCGCGCTGGATTGCCCCTGCCGAGATACGAGAGAATTAGGTTATAGGCTGTGGGCTGCAGTGAAACACTGTCTCTATCTGTTTTCAAAACCAAGCTTCTTCAGAGGCTAGTTTGGCTTTAACATCAAATGACCTTGAAACAAGACTTCACTCGATATGTGTACCCCAAGGATACCAATGCCGCCTGTTTCAGTTAGGAAAGTGCTCACTAAGCAAATAAATACAACAAGCGTGATCTCCCTCTATTTCTGGGGGTGGGTGGTGCGCAAAGGGCGTTAACGCTTAGGGCGTTTTGAGTTGCTCTTAAGTGAGTGGTGGTGTCCGTGGGCGGTATTAATCGTCAGCGGTATCAGGAACCCGTTCGACCATTTGTCCCCTATAAAATGATATTGAAAAAAAGATATTATTAATCTGTAATTATTAATAATGTACAGGGCCTTCCCAATTACAACGTCACATAGTTTTAAAGAATTTACTCCAGTTAAAATTCACGTGTAGATAGGTAACAATATTTTTTTTACTATTTAACAAATTTAATATACCTGCTAATCCAGTACCTACATGTACTACATTAATTATTTTATTTTAAGCCGATTGTTAATCAGTGACTTTATATTATGCAATACATCATCTTCAGGATTCCGCTAAATAATCCGCGCTTCCGAGTTCCCTAGAAGACTAGTTCCTTAGTTTGTTTGAAAATACCTTACCCACACACGAAAATCTTTATTTGAGAAAATCAGTCGGCACCCCTATTGATCCCTTGGGTGTCGTAAAAGCCGACTAAGGAAGCAAAACGCAAGACAACAGCACTGCAAAGAGAAGGAAAACTTGAAACAAACCCTATTACAACCCGTGTTACCAGCGTGGTATAGTAGGCCAAATCCTCCTTTGATGTGATGTGTGATGAATCAGCAGGTTCTATTTAATAGTAGTCGTCATTAGGCTGTCTATGTAATATACTTTCCTTGTCTTTAACCAAGGAAATCTATGCAAAGATAATTGATATGTTCATTAAAGGGTTATCATTGTTTTGATATTATTTTAACTAGAGATGGTTTTAATTACAGGGAGGCAAATATATCGCCCCAACTTACCAACGGTGCCAGGAGACGAAGGTGTCGGAGAAGTAGTTGAAATCGGAAGTAAAGTATGTTGTGTAGGAATTGGAAATAGAGTTGTTTTAACTCGAAATCTGCTTGGCACCTGGCGATATTATGGTATTTATCCTGAAGGAGCTCTACATAGAATTCCACACAAATTACCCCTTGCAGAAGCTTCCATGCTATCTATAGCTCCCTGCACTGCACTCAGAATGATGAGTGACTTCAGAAATGTAGAACCGGGTCAAACTATAATGCAAAATGCAGCTAACAGTCCAGTTGGCCAGTGCGTCATAATGCTATGTAAAGCGTTAGGAATAAAAACCTTGAACATCGTAGCCAATCACTGTGAGTTTAACGCTGTGAAGGAGTCCCTTATGGGACTAGGAGGTAACCTCGTGTGTACGTTAGAAGAAGCTGAAGAAATGTCAAGTTTTAGTACAGCTTTATCTCGACCTGTATTAGCTTTTAATTGTTTAGGAGGGCGATATGAAGACGTTATGCTCCGATTACTTGAATCCAACGGTACCCTTGTCTATTATGGATGCTCTTATGATTTACCGATGGCTAAGCAAAGTAGACGTCCAGATGCGAAATTTTATAAATTTCATTATGGAAAGTGGTCTCAAACAGGTACTAAAATAGAAAAAACTAAAATGCTGAACAAACTGGTTGAGTTAATTGTTATTGGTAAACTTCAAGCTCCAGTGTATATACCAATACAACTAAAAGATTACATACATGCATTTAGAAACACTGTACATTGCGAGGCTTTCGCTACAAAAAGTTACATATTCGACTTTACTTGCCCCTAATAACAAGAGATTGAAGCCCAACTAAAGTATTAACTTAGAAAAATCACATACATAATCATGAAGAGCATAAAGCACATAAGTATGTAAAAAATAATTTATGGAAGTACCTATGTGCGTTCGTTTTTCTAACTTTCCGTGCTATTAATTCCTTTAATTGAATCATGTAGATTGAAGGCCGCCTAATTGAGTATCGTTTCTATCACTCGTTCGTTATCGTTACACTATTTTCGTTACAAGAACGTTCGCTAAGAAAGAAAGTTGAAAATTCATGAACAACTATGAACCCAAGCAGTCATAGTATGGAGTGTAGAGACAAGAAGAACCATCTCTTAAGAGGGGAAAGTTGAAAAAGTGTCTAGCTGTATACCTACTGACAATAAAAGTCACTAAAGTCTGAACGTTATCACACGTTTATTTTTTGTCTGTAAAACTCATTGACTATTTTCGCAGTCTAGTACACAGTGTCTAATTATTATTTAAGCCAAAATATATAAATATAAATAAAATAAATTTATCCTAGGCGACCGCAGCGCCAGCCTGATTGGACGTGATTTTACTGAAATTTTTATACACAGCGATGGATCTCCTTGCCTCTACACTCCATAAGTCATGGGTATATAGATCGATGTAGGAAAGTACTTTTTATATCACGAACATGCAAATAAGTTCTGGCAGATCGGTAATGTCCGATAAGTACCATACATAACGGAATGCATAAACAAAATTTAATTAAGTTCCTCCATATTTTTATATTATGAGGCTCCTTTTTTTACAATTGTTAATGTGAGTTGAAGCACCACAGAAGATATTCATATCCCGCTCGGAAATAATGTACCCTACAGGATTATAACGGCTTTCTTTAATCTCTACTACTACTCTAATCGTAATCTCAATTTAAATGTTTACTCTTCTGTATTTTGTGAAAGTACTCCTATTTCTATGTAATTCTATTCTGTTTTAACCAACCTCAAATAAAAAAGCAGGTTCTTAATTCAGCTGCATATATTCCCAGAGACATGACACATGACATCAATTTACGTAATGTGATATCAAATAAAATCAATGTTTTATGGCACATTGATTTACTTTTTTTTTTAAATTACATCATGTGTTCATTCTGTTTTTTAACTTTAGTCCTATATTAATTGATTTGGAAAGTTTTTTTTTATTTGTGTGGCTTTATTTATATCTTCTGTTCATTTTGGCAAACAAAAGGATGAAAATGTTTTAATATGTTACAGCACTTTTTTCAGAATCATTTTCTTTGAAGTCCGTTTATTCTTATTTATGTTTAACTATAAACATTCAGAACGCTTATGCCCAAAAAAAAAACATTTGCATGTAGTTAAATAGTCAAAGCAGGAATCTCAATAAGTGTATTTGCTTTGCACCTTTTACTAATAACATATACATATACGTTTTCGGATGTTCTCTAACGTGTTGTGATATTTATAATGTTAATTCTAGAAACAAAAAAAAATGAAAAAAACACGTACTTAGTTACTAATAATCAGTCTTTTAAAACATTGACAGTGACTGAAGTCCCATAAATTGAATAAATAATAGTTGTACCTACCAAGACCTCAAAAATAAAAGCTATACCTAGTCCTCATTCTTTAAATTGCTACAAAAGCCATTGTAGCACCAACTGTTCACGTAACACTTTTTATTGTAATGTTATTGATTATGGCGTTTAGTGGCTTCCATATTTTGTTAAATCAAATTAAATATATTAGCTACTGATAAACCTACTTTTTATTTTCAATGGTTATACAATATTAGAAGAAGAGAGGAAATAGGAGAGGCCTATGTCCAGCAGTGCACTATTAAAGGCTGTTGATGTTTGATGTGATACAATATTACCTAGGTATTTCCTATTTACTATTCCTTTTTAAAGTCTGTTAAAAATATATCAAAACAATACAGGTGTATGAATGTTTAAAAATGGTTCCTACCTGATTATAAAATTACTTGAGATAGTATACAGTAGATGTAATAAAAATATGTGGAAATAATAATTTAATTTTTAAAGCTAGCACATTTCTATTATTCCTTAGACAAAAAACTATATAAAGTAAAAACTTTACCTATATATTTAATTTCATTTTTTCATAATCAATTTGTACACAATTTTAAAAAAAAGGGGGAAGAACTTAAACGAAACCTTTATGTTATGTCTTTCGGAATTGGATATTTCAAATGTATTCTGTAATTTGTTAAATTATTTTGAAGTAAACGTCTCACTTAGTGTTACTATGCTCAGTCCCAAAGGACTAAACCATCTATCTACCAGCGCTACGTATACCAGGCAAACTTTGGCTACCCCATTTGATTATTAAGTTTTAGGTTATCTGTGATAGGCATCTATAAAGTTCTCTAAACTTCAAACCCTGGTTCTATAAATTTAAGAAGGTATGTAAACCTGTCATCTCCACCATATGTAGGCTCCGCATAGGTCACTGCAGCTCACCTGTGTTCCTGAACAAGATTCGGGTACGGGATTCGTCCTTATGTGAATGTGGCTTAGATGAAGGCAATCTAGATCACATATTCTTCAGTTGTCCTAAAAATATCCCATCCCTAGATCTCTATTCTCACCTTACCGAACTAAAAATCCCCATCCCTATTAACTTCTCATCTCTCCTAACATTTTCATCCCCCCGCCTTCTCCAGGTCTTGATGTTGTTCATCCGATCCAATGACATCAGACTTTGACCTTCATTTCTATGAATATTGAATTTTATTCTTTTTGTGATTGTTTGCTTATTAGTTACCTATTTATTTATTTAATACATATCTTATCTATTTGTACTTGTCTGCTTGTTTCAGTGTAAATACTAACCACAACAAAAAGCCCCACATTCAGTCTACAATTAATATCATCAATTAAATTTTTTGTGTAATAAAACCCACGTATTTCCATCGCACTTGACACTGGCAGAATTGTCGACATCGGCACAGTTTGCCATTTATGAAGAAGAAGAAGAAAACATTGTCAAAGGCAAAACATATGGGATCTCTGTTCATCTACGAGTATCTAAGTAAATATTGATATATATTCCCCAGTATGTGTATTAAATGTAATATATAATTTGTGTTTATAAGGTAAAGATTGGTTAAATGACATGGCAAATTGACTATATATATTATATGAGAGAGAGATGTGATCTGTTGCAGGTAGCAAGTATTCTGAAATAGAAAAATGTAAAAAGGAGTAAATAATTATAAAAATAATAAATCAATTAAGTTGAGTTTCACTTAAAATTACTGCAAAATGGACAAAAATACTTATGAAACTTATGAGTTCTTACCAGCGAATCCTAGCGAAACTGAACCTGAACAATTCTTTGTTGTGCAAGATGATGGTTCTTTCCTACGTAAGTACTTTTTGTTAGTACTATTAATAAGTACTCATCAAATGTGAAATAACATTTACCCTCACTCAAACCTATGCAAAGTTATGTTTTGTGTCATGAAAGCTGGAAAAAGAATACATATTATTAACTTATTTTTATTAGTTTGCTTTTAAAATATATAGGAAGTTGAATGACGGCTATTTTATTGTATAGAAAAACTTAGGCAATATGTTACTGAATGTATGCTCTGAATGTCTCAACGATATAATAGTTCTAAGGTAGTTCTTAATATCTTACTACCATGTGAAGTATGGTAATTGATTATACAGTAAACAGTCTTTAATTCTTTATTATAGTTAGGCAATCCAGGAGGTTGTTTTGTTATAAATATTATTCTAAGATGGAGTAGGTAATAACATCATACATATACATAATGTTTGCAATTTAATTTTTGATTTCAAAGTCAATATTGTATCACTTTCATACATATATTCTCACATAGACAGAGGCACATTAAACTCCTACATTTTGCCATTTATAATTCCATTCCCACAAATTAGAACCAGACATAGAATAAATAATTGTTGTCTCACCATACAATATTTGTATGGAATGGGAATCAAACCCACAACCTCTGGTTTAGCAATCAGTCAGGATTACAAACCACTAGACAATCGGCCACTAGTCATAAAATTATTACAATGAAAAAGATGATTTTTTTTGTTTTTAATGTTTACTAGCAACTGAAATTACTAGTATTCCTGATAACCCCTCCAGCTAAGCTAAATTGCTTGTGTTATCTTAAGATAGTCACTTTTTGAACAGTAAAACATTAAGTACTACACTTAAGGGTAGTCTTGCTATCAAATATATTTTTTACAAAGTAATAATTGAGATGTGTTACTTACATATTTATTGTATATGGAATGGAATTTACAAGAAATGAATTTTTACAATATACTCTGTTTATATACTAGTAGAAGTAATAAAAATCTCTCTACCTATCTGGTGATGCACCAGAGATAAGTGGCAACTCTAAGTCACTAAAGTTTTTTGTTTTGTGCAGCTTGAGGCAAATGTGTGTTTAGCGCATTATGGATTTTTCAGTAAACAGACAAATTCAGTATGTAACACAAGTCGAAGATGTAAAAGAAGTTTTGGAGGATGTGCAGCCCTGTACAGCAAGGGGTGTACAATATACTCTGTTTATATACTAGTAGAAGTAATAAAAATCTCTCTACCTATCTGGTGATGCACCAGAGATAAGTGGCAACTCTAAGTCACTAATGTTTTTTGTTTTGTGCAGCTTGAGGCAAATGTGTGTTTAGTGCATTATGGATTTTTCAGTAAACAGACAAATTCAGTATGTAGCACAAGTCGAAGATGTAAAAGAAGTTTTGGAGGATGTGCAGCCCTGTACAGTATACGGTGTGGGGGTCCCCTCTCAACAATTCTTTGTGGATGTTGATAATTCAACGGAACTTATATCTGTGTCAGGTAAATTTTACAGATTTTGATGGTATTTAAAAATTAAATAATTAAAGGGATTACTAACCCTTAGGATGTACACATACGGACACACTTATGGACACATCACACTTAGGTTGGCTCGACTGGAGTGTTATCATGGCCTTAGCCTTATTGAAAATTGGTGTTAAGCAACCTCCCTCTTCTTGTTCCTTGTTTTAAATAATTACTTTAAGCGGCATTCAAAGGCATATGAGTCTCTGAGTAGCAGGTGTCCATGTCACTTTATCACCTGGTGACCAAAAGCAATTTATTATTATCTGTGTCAGGTAAGTTTAATAGATTTTAATGGTATTTAAAAATTAAATAGTTAATATCTCATCAAACTTGGGCTGTCCGTATGGTGACTGATTAAGAATACAGAGTGTCACCACCCCTATTCATCCCGTGGGTGTCGTAAGAGGCGACTAAGGGAGCGAACTACGCAGGACAACAGCACTGCAAAGAGAAGGAAAGCTGGACACAAACCTTATACCAACCGGTCTGGCCAGCGTGGTATAGTAGGCCAAAGCCTCCTTGCTAAGGAGAGGTCTATGTCCAGCAGTGGACTGTTAAAGGCTGTTGATGTGATGACTTGGCTCGAGTGTTAATATGGCCTCACTAAAAATTAGTGTTATTATGGTGGTATTATTACAAGATATATTAAATGTTTCAGTTCATCTTAATAATACATTTCTATTTAATGATCAGTATTTAAGAAAAGTAAATAACCATTTCAGATCAATTTATTCTACCTGATGGAGAAAATAGTCTATATACCAATAGTTATTTATTACAACCAAGCTCAAGCACAACTACTGAAGAGGTAAATTTCTTTTTTAATAAAATCTCACCAATATTTTAAATAATATTCAGACTGAAGCAATTTACTTCATATTTGCTTGTTTCTTTAATATTTACTTCTGACTCTGGTACTTTAGAAGGTCAGTTGATGTCCTAGTCCCAGTGTCTTTAACAATCACACGATAAACATATGGGTACAAGACTGCGGTCTCTTCAAGTTCCTGCCTGTTCCTTTTCCTTATCCAAGACTTGAGGTGTCCTTTACCCTAGCTCCCTTGCCAGTTCCGCTATGCTCATCCAGATTACATTCGACAAGGAGAGTTAGACCTTAACAGAAACCAGCCAAAACCCCTTGTAATATTACACATTACATCACAACCTTAAATGACATTGGAAATGGAAAATAATGATGATCACTGATGACAATCCTCCAATACATGAACCTACATGTATTAAAGGATTGTCACTCAGTTTTTAAACCAAGCACTCTATATAACTGCCATGCTTTGTTTTTGATAGTATCTATTAAGATGGACTTATAAAAGAATACTTCATACTATACTATAACCAGTATTTAAAAAGGTACAACTTGTGTATGATGATGTCAATATATGTTGATGAGTTGACCAGCACCCTCTTTATAATATATTTGGACATCTAGTCCCGTCTGTAAGCATTACCTACTTGCTCTATTCCTATTATTTATCATGCTTACTTGCATTGAGCAATCTGAGGCCAATCATGCATCTTAATTGCTGTAAAAACTAATATTTAAGATAGGCATTCAATAGATTCATTTCGTTTATTTTCTAGGTGGAATCTGATGTTGTAGCTGATCAATTCAAAGAAGCAAACTCACAAGAAGAGGATATAGATATCGCAACACATGACAGCAAACAGGGAAACAATTTTACTGAGGTATAGTGTTTATTTCACTTTTAGATTAATTACAATAAAAAGAAACTCATAATCAGTCCGGTCGTGACCGTGAACGTGAGCGCGAGCAATGTCACGCACCTCCGCTACGACTATGAATAACGGTTCGAAAATACTTAAATGTGCTAGTTGTAATATAGTAATATGTGAGGTGTTAAGTTTTATCCAAAATAAACTGGATGTGATGGATGAGCAAAGTCTCGTTCAAATATGTGAAAGTGCTTTTAGTACGGTGGACATAAAGGTAGCAAAATCGTTACTGTTTGAATCTTTGAGCAAGAGGCCGACAACACGAAAACGGGAAGGAAGGACATTACGAGATCTGGAAGACATCATCTCCTTATTTAAGGAGACGGACCCTGAAAAGATTCCTATATTTGTAGCCAGAAAACTAGAAAAGTTGCCACCCGTCTCATTCGATCATATCGATGTCACAGTTTTGCTTAAAAAAATTGTATTACTTGAAAAAAGTGTACAAGATTTTCAATATCACTATGCGACCAAAGGTGAATTAAGTGAGAGTATTAATGAATGCTATACGAAAATTAAGAATATATCTTTTGAAAATCAAGACAAAAACATTAATAGGCATATAGGAGGTAGATTGGAAACGTTAAATAGTGGACCGATGGCACATCCTACATTGCGTAGTGATGAATCACTTGCAGAGCATAATGCACCCGCAGACAACCTGTCTCTTTCTCCCCGGCTGTCGCATATTATTATGTCGCCGGCCACTGCCGCTGTGGCGAGCTCAGCGCGAGTGACTCCTGTGAGTGAGCGAGACATCGGTCGGAACGCATTACCACTTGAAAACACGGAACCGACGCATAACATCTGTGCGCCGGAGCTTAATAACGACACAGCTGATCGATGTAAACAAATGAATGATTTAGTTGAGAATCACCTGTCATTTTCCGAGGTTATGCAAAAAGACGGTGAATGGAAAATGTCGAGTAAGAATGAAGAATGGATTTTGGTACAGAAAAGAAGACATAGAAACCGTTTTATCAGTCAAAAAGGCAGTGCGGTGGTGAATGTTGAGGACAATAGTTCACTGTTCAGAGCAGCCGATACCAAAGTGCCGTTACTTATTTCAAATGTGCACAAAGCGGTATCTGAACAAGATATAATTAACTACGTATATGAGAAGACTCAAGAGCGAGTTACACTAGTGAAAATTAAAATGAAGCGGGAAAGAGATTATAATGCCTACAAACTCTTTACGAAGCACAAAATTGAAATATTCTTAGATGATAAGTTGTGGCCATCAGGAATATCTTTTAGGCGTTTTGTGCACTTTCATATGAGGCAAAAAAAGGATGGAGATGAAAAAAAAAATACCTAACAACAATGGACAGTCTCAGTAAAATAGTGAGTTTTAACTGCAAGTCACTCAAGAGGTCAATGGAAGGAGTCAGAGCTCTATGTCAGTCGGCGGATGTGGTTGCCCTCCAAGAAACATGGTTGTTACCACATGATTTGGCGATACTCAGCACGGTTGATAACAACTTCGGGTTTACTGCGACATCTGCTGTGGATACAGCGGCAGGCCTCCTGAGCGGGAGGCCATACGGTGGCGTCGCATTACTGTGGCGTAAGGATACGTTTGAATCAGTGTTACCGGTACAGTGTGATAACGTGAGAGTGTGTGCCATAAAAATAACCGTAAGTAATAGATCTATAGTGATTTTTAGTGTTTATATGCCCACAAACTCCGTTGACAATCTCGCGGAATTTACATCTTGTCTAAGTACTATTTGTTCAATAATAGAAATAGAGGAAAACAAGGGAGTTGAGGCTTTCTATATCTTAGGAGACTATAATGCACACCCGAGTGAGTTGTTTTATAATGAAATGATGAATTTCTGTGTGGATCAAAGATGGACTTGTGTAGATATAAACATGTGTGACAGTAGTACATACACCTTTATGAGTGAGTCGCATGGGTGTAGCAGATGGTTGGACCACTGCATTGTCACTGAGTCTGCACTACAATCAATCGTTAATGTAAAGGTACAATATGACATGTATTGGTCCGACCATTTTCCGATTGTGGTAGAATGTGACCTACGTAAGCTCAAGCCAAAATGTATAAATAAACCAAATGAAAGATGTGTAAATCGTGTTATCTGGGGTGAGCGATCCTCAGAGCAAATAAGCGAGTACCATGATCTCTGTCACTCTAGACTTGGACAGATGGATATTCCTGGGGTACTGAGTGCTTGTTGTGACAGGTTTTGTGATAATAGGGAACATCGCTCAGTTCTTGATGAAATGTATCTGGAGATTGTAGACACCCTAAGCCGTGCCGCCGTACAAACATGTAAAGCCAAGTGTCGGAAAAAAGGTGGTTACGTGACTGGGTGGAATAAGCATGTCGCGGATGCTCACCGCGAGGCACGGCTTCAGTTCCGAGTTTGGACAATGGCAGGTCGTCCGGCCACTGGCCCTTTATTTTGTAAAATGGCGGAGGCAAGGCGAGTTTTTTTAAGGCCAAGCTTAAATGGTGTCAGAACAGACAAGATCAGCTCAAAATGGATCTTCTTGCCTCAATCCATACCACTAAGGATTTTAAGCAGTTTTGGAAAAAAACAAACAATATGAATGTGAGGCCGAGTCTCCCGGTGAGCGTCGGTGGTATGACTGATCACAAGCATATTGCTGATGCATTTAGGACACACTTCTCTGTGCGGTCGCCTTTGAACTCGGGGTCGTATGATAGGGAATATGCTGGGGCTAGTGTGACCGGGCGGATTACTAAAGTACCAGCTAAGACAGTCGCTAAAATTGTTTCCGGAATGCAACATGGAAAATCGCCGGGTCACGATGGCCTCAGCATAGAACATTTTAAGCATGCAGGGATGCACCTGCCTAAAGTACTCTCTCTGTTTTCTACCCTATGCCTCGGTCACTCTTATTTACCCGAACCGCTTATGCGGACCACTGTGATACCTGTTGTTAAAACCAAAACGGGTGACACGTCCGATGTAAATAACTATCGACCCATCTCGCTTGCCACCACCGCGGCTAAGGTGCTTGACGGTGTGTTGAACGGCTGCCTTTCAGATCACGTTGAAGTACACGATGCCCAGTTCGGGTTCAGGGGCGGCTTGTCCACGGAGAGTGCCATACTTAGCCTAAAACACACAGTCAAGTACTATACATCGCGGAGGACGCCGGTCTACGCGTGTTTTCTCGACTTGTCAAAAGCTTTCGATCTTGTTGCCTATGATGTACTGTGGGACAAGTTGGGAGACACGAGTGTTCCGACCGAGTACACAGCGCTCCTCAAATACTGGTATGCTCACCAGACAAACCGGGTGAGATGGGTCGGTACTCTCTCGGATGAGTACAGAATGGAGTGTGGTGTGAGGCAGGGGGGGTTAAGCTCACCTCTATTGTTTAATTTATATATGAACCAGCTTATCGAGCGACTGAGCAGCACACATGTAGGCTGTCACATAGACGGCACATGTGTCAATAATTTAAGTTACGCGGACGACATGGTGCTGCTCAGTCCTTCGATAGGTGGACTGAGAGAGCTACTATCGATCTGCGAGACGTATGCGGAGATGCACGGCCTTAAATACAACTCTAAAAAGAGCGAGATTTTAATATTCAAAACGCAAAAACAACAGTCACGCCGTGTAGCTCCGGTATATCTCAATGGCGTAGTGCTAAAAGTTGTTGAGAAGGTCAGGTATTTAGGCCATATTGTCACCAGTGACCTTCGCGATGACAGCGACATAGAGCGGGAGCGCAGGGCGTTGGCGGTGAGGGGCAATATGCTCGCCCGTAGGTTTGCTCGCTGCACGGCAGACGTTAAAGTGACTTTATTTAAAGCGTTCTGTCAGTCCTTCTATTCGAGCGGCCTGTGGGTGTCATATACAGAACGGGCCTACAACGTCCTGCGCGTACAGTATAACAACGTCTTCAGGATGCTGTTGCGGCTGCCGCGGCATTGTAGTGCATCGGGCATGTTTGCCGAAACACGCACCGACGGGTTTCATGCTCTCATGCGTAAAAAATCGGCTTCCATGCTAAAGCGCTTGCGAAATACCCGGAACAGCGTCCTGAAGATGATTGCTAGTAGGCCAGACTGTCCTATACAAAGGCATTGGGTGGCAATAGCAATAGGAAAGCATAGTTGAATGCCTTTCTACTATTAAGTGCCGTTACTAACAATACTAATATAGACGTTAAGTACTTTCTGTTTCTAACCCATTACTAAACAACCTATGGACTGTATATGTCTGAAATAAAATTATTATTATTATTATTATTATAATCAAATCATATGTGGGGGAAAGGGAAATATGTGGGCCGTAAGCTGTAAGCTAGTTATTTGATACAAAAAAAAAACAAAGTAATAATAATAAGAAATTGACATTTATGAGCATCTCAGGGGACCAAATTATTGTTAAATGATAAAAATAAATGTACAACGAGAAGCTAAGAAGTTCAACACAACAACTAGTCTTTGCACTTTTCGCAAAATTATACAAAATCAAATGCACCAAAGCAATAGAAAATATTTTTGAATCATTTAATTTTTTCTTTCTAAGGAATGTCCAGCAGTGGACTTTTAAAGGCTGTTGATGATGAATTGATAAAATTATATAACAATAATTTAAAAAAAAACATAATGATGACAATGAAGCCTGCACTAATGTGTTTTGTGTTACAGATAACTATAAGCGACGAGCAGTATCAAACTTTAGAACAAAAAGGCTGGATCTTGTTAGAATCAAATGATAAAATATTTGTACTGAATACACTCGGGTTGCATGATATCACATCCAATGATAGTATGTTAATAAATTATTTATTGACAAGTTTTTAAACACAGGAATAGTATTATCTTTTTCTAGATAAAAGTTATTCTATTGCTTTTACTTTATTTTCTACAAAGAGTATACATTATTTGGTATAAAAGCAGTAAAAACCTAAGTCCAGGATCTAAGGATCCGGTCCAGTATACCTTGTTATTTTTTTTAATTATAAAAAAAAGTAATTAATAACAATATCATTTTATTGCAGGATTGATACAGAAACTAAGAAATGAAATCCAGAATAGTACAAACAGTGAAAACAATCCCGGGTAAATATATTGTAAACAGTAACAGCCCAATAATGTGAGATTACAATCTAATCAGTCTGTTTGTTAACAGAACAATTAAATTAAAAAATGTTTCAAGTCAGTTCCCGAATTTAGTCGCGCAATCGTTTACCGACCAACAGGACACCATGGAGTTTGTTATAGGAAGCAATGTTGAACAAGATGATAATATTAAGGTATTAAAGTTTGTCGTCCATGATAACAAAGGTTTGTATTTTTGTTTTTTTTTTTATGATCCTAAATTATTCATTCATCTCGTAGTACAATTTTAAACATTTAACTGTAATGTGATTATATCGTATTGTGAGCGAAAGTTGAATCGGTATTCTGCTAGTCTCAGTAATACTTTACTACGAGAATACGTTTTTAAAGAATTTTGAAAGAATTTTTATTATGAGAATTGACCTTCTGATCTCAAATTCCAATTCTTTTATTTGCCTCGATATAGTACATAGAGCAGATGTTAATAATTACAATATTGGCTCAGTATCATAACAATAATGTGCAAAATGTAATTAGATGCTGCACTAACAGCTTTTAATCCATTGTAGGAAAATTCTATTACTAACATAATTCTGAAAATTATATTAATATATTTGATCAAATATGTTTATTTTGTCCATTACTTGGATAAACATATTTTTTTGATTGATATTGATTGATTGTGTTATGTCCCTGTCAGCCACATGTCTACATGTCTTTTCGAGATTTGCAGTTTCACTTTCTCTAACTCTTTCGCCCAATCCGTGATGGTTCATCATCAACAGCCTTTGATAGTAATTAAAATTGTATAATTATGTTTCCCACACTCTTAACGAATAATAGACATTGTTGAGGCGAATAGAAAGAAAGATGGACAGACTAAATGGAATGTCATAAGTTGTAATCAAGTCAAACGGTATACAGGTCTACGGATTATTTACATGGGAGTTCATCATCATCGCCCTATCGCCGTCCACCGCTGATCGAAGGCTTCCACTAGGGAACGCTCACTATCTCGGTTTTGGGCAGTCCGCATCCATCCCATGCCAACCACATACTGTCCATCGTGCCGTAGAGCACCCTACACTACGTTTGCCTAATAAAACACATTTCGGCTCTAGCGACCATCACTCCATCTATCGATATGACCGGCCCACTCGTACTTCAGCGTACTACACAGCTACTCCTACTACAGCGATTATTACGTAGAGTACTAAATTTTGATTCTCTCTAAAAAAAAATATGAGGTATAATCAATACTTTCATTTTGGTCAGTTTGTGGCTTGAGTCATATGTGCACAACACATTTATTATTTTATATGGTTGCAATCGAGCACATGTGTTAGGTTCTTTATCCTGGGTAATTCTGGACTCACCCAGGATAAAGAACCCAGTGCGCAGAATGGAATCACTTTAAATTTGTTACGCTGACAGTTTGTATGTTCTGGGAATTGCCGACTATCTTTAAGTCCCTGGAGGTTCTTTATCAAGGGATAAAGACACCAGTTTAAGTTAGTGACGCTGAGAGTTGTTACTCCACAAACACAAGGCCAAGGTGTACTAAATAAGTATGCAATATACTGCAAACTTCCTACTTGTTACTTTTAAATTTCGTTAAACTCCAATGAACTGTTACCGGAAATTCCCACTAGCTTACAGATGAACCGTTGTATTTTCGCGTACATGCTTTTCTCGTATTCCTTAGGATGCTTCCCTAGCATGCCGGTTATTTGCGTCAGTAGCATGCACGGATTACTGGCACGTTTGGTTCATGTAAAATTCATGCTTCTCGCGCGGGTTACGTGTATGCATCTTGCTCGTTTCAGATTTGACACAGTTCAGTACCAGGGTGCTGTTACACGGTGCAAGTAGCTGGAGCAAGTAATCGCGTTAAAATGTCTCGACGAGCGAGAATTCTTATAAAATCATTCATTAAAAATATTATTTTTGCGTGTTACATGCGCGGGTGGCTCGCACTCGTCCATGCTCGAGTCGCTTGACCCGCTTAGTCCTTTTCGCGATGCAAATAACCTGCGCAAGTGCCTCAACATGCGCAAGCTACTTGCATCGTGTTAAAGCACCCTTACCTATTTAAAAACAGTCGAAGTTACGGGATAAAATTTTCTTCAACTGTCAATTTCATAGCATCGCTCATCCTTAAGTTAAGTCATCCTTAAGTCTTGTTTATGAATTAAAATTGCCGACCATATGCGACCAGGCTCATAGGCAGTATAGTTTGGGTTGTGGTATTCACAACCCGACAGGGTTTCAGTCAGATGTTTTATTCGATAGAAAGAGTTTCAATAATCGATTGTTTTCAGAAAATATAGCAGCGTCTTGCCTCAACGTAGAACAAATGGACGTATCAGACAGTAATCAAGAATCCGAGTTTAAGAATAATATAAATGAGATAGCAATAATTAAGCAAGAGTCAATAAATGATACCAGTTCAATAAAAATAAAAACCAAATTTAATTTCAAAGGTAAGATAAATTATCTATCACTACATTATTCGTTTATTTATCCATTCTATTAAAAAATAATTTTTAACATTAGGTTTTGGTATTTAGATATTCCAGAAAAAATTGTACTTGGAAAAACTTTGAACGGAAAAAGATTAGTAGCTAAAGTGGTGAAAACAGTATCAAAAAGACAGAACATGATAAAACCTGCAATATCTAATGAGTGCAAAACTGAAAATATAGTAACAGAAACTGTTACAGATAATTCATATAGTGAGTAAGCATTATATTTGTGTATGATAAAGAGTCAATTTTGAATTGTATATCGTTTTGACGCCCTCGAATCCACATGAAAGTTCGAACCCAGTTGAAGAATCACAGAGTTGCATGAACTGTACCGTAGTGTGCTTAAACTGTGCCGTAATGCGTTTCAAACATTCCGGTTTATTTTAAGAGATGAGTTTTTTTAAGGCTTTTGTCATCGTCGGGTCATTGTAAGCCACATAGGCTAACAATAACCCGAAACTAAAACAACGATAAATCCCCAGTTGCATAAACTATACCGTAGTGTGCTTAAACTGTGATTTAGTGGGTTCGAACTGTATCTGTAAAAACCAGATTAAGAATGCTGTTTTTACAAACAAACAAGTACTGACGAGAATCTTTCTGCACTAACTAGTGTTTATGTGCAGATGGAGTTTTCATTTCTAGATATATTAATGTATTTCAGACAATAATAACGGTTTAAGTGAAACGGAGCTAGTAAGTCTTATACAGCATTCAGTGCGCAGTACATCTCAAACTAAATTGAGCGTCGAGGATGTCACATCAGCCCATAGTGTGATTGGACAGCTACTCAAAGTGCCCAATATAGAAAGCTTGTTAGTTGGACATAATTTAATCATTACTAAGGTATGTTTCACTGCAGAAATAATTATTGTGGTGATGTTATCTAGCAGTGGTGCAACTATTTTAATTTCATACGCATGCTGCTAAGTCAGTATTGACACAGCGATTCACTTGAGTAATATGATTGATAAAGAAGCTATATTTTCAATATCTTCTTCTGTATTTCAATAATACCTTCAATACCCTTTGATGTACTGTCTCTCTCACTACTCACAGATTACAGATAACTACTAGCAGATTACCGATTCAATTTCGGTCATAATACGATATAATTACGTTACAGTCAACGTTGGATGTTTAATACTTTACTACGAAAATACCTTTAATGACAGTTGTGAGATCGAGAGTTGATCGAAACTGAACTTTTAACGGAATTTTTATTAAGAGAATAGGCCTTCAGCTATGTGGTTATTATTTCCATTGACACTAGAACAACTTCCCTGTGAACGTAACCAGAAACTCCATAGTTTTTTATTTCTATTTATGAAGTTCAAAAGTCTAAAATCTTACTTACTACTTTAGGTAAAAAATAATAAAGAAGAACCAAGCGCAAATTCAAACAGAAGAGACATGGTCCTTATGACGGGTCACGTGACGGAAGACGAAGATTGTTCTTCGAATTTCGAGCACTTGCCTGATCTATTGCAGAGTATTAAAGCAAAATCAGGTATTTTAGAAATATATAAAACGAACGTATTACTTAGGCATTCTTAGAATAGAACTGTTTCCAGTTTTTAGAGTGAATAGAGTCGCCAACTCCCCAAAGCCCCGTTTGAAAGAGGGACAGGGACAGTGTACGTAAATGTTAATTTATTGGTTTAAAAATGAGTTGTAGTATTTACAACACAACACAAGAATTCATATATAATTGTTGAGTATAAGAGACTCGTACAATAAAAAGTAACTCGCTAATAAACAAGACTAAATTGCTTGTTACATTTAATAAATATGATACATTTAGTTGTTTAGTATTCTGGGATTGTGTGTATGTAATTTTCTTTACTTCGACTGCTAAAATAAGTTATTTAAACCAAACGGCTTACGAGCTAAAGATCAGTGACAAGTTTTACTAACATGAGATGAAGGATAATTTGTCTAATAGAGTATAATTTACTTGTACATTGTACAACTTGCTACAGAACTTCAAAGATTTCTAAAATCATTTTTGTTGTATTAATTTATAGTAACATTTTTTATCTAATAAATAAAAATATTTACAGTTGAAGCCATGACTAACGAAAACCAGCACCTAGAGTGTATTGACCACGAAAAAGAGACATGTACAATATTCCACGTCCATATTACAGAAACAAAATGTCCTGACAGAGTCACTCGAGTGTCTGTCACTTTAAACAAAAGGCGTGAGTATATAACTACCCACATTATTATTATCATCATCATCATCATCAACAGCCTTTAATAGTCCACTGCTGGACATAAGCCTCTCCTTAGAAAGGAGGTTTTGGCCTACTATACCACGCTGGCCAGACGGGATTGTATAGGGTTTGTGTCAAGTTTTACTTCTCTCTGCAGTGTTGTTGTTCTGCGTAGTTTTTCCCTTAGTTGCCTCTTACAACACCCACGGGATGAATAGGGGTGGTGACAATCTGTATTCTTAATCCGTCACCACACGGACGGACATAATTATTAGATCGTCACTAATAAATCTAATGAACACAGTGGATGCAGCGTACGTACTTGTTAATTATTTACTACAACATGTTCTTATTTTTAGAAAAAGGAACTCTCTGGCCCGTATTTTAAAAGGCGTCTCAGTCGTGAATCTAGTCTTAAAACTAATTTAAGTAGAGATTTTATTATTGAACGTCACATAAAACATAATTCACCGATCCATACTCAAGTGAGTGATATTTTAGAACGATGTTTATGTCGAAATATTTAGTCAAGTATAGATTTTGACAGACGTGATCTTCATTTACTTGAAACAAGCTGAAACTTATGGGGAAAATAATGTGTTTTACGATGATCTGTTTCTGAATAATTACGAAAGATTTAATTTAAAATTTAAAAATACTAGTCATACCTGTCTGTCTGTTACCTTCACGCTTAAACCGCTGAACCGATTTAGATGAAATTTGGCACAGAGATGGTCCGAGTCCCGGGTAAGGACATACTGTAGTTTTTATTTTAGAAATAATCCTTTAAGGCGGTGGAAAGAGTCCCCCATATAAATCCCCCCCCCCCCCCAGGGGGGCATTTATATGAGGAATCAATAACGGCTGAACCGATTTAGATGAAATTTGGCACAGAGATGGTCCGAGTCCCGGGAAAGGACATACTGTAGTTTTTATTTTAGAAATAATCCTTTAAGGCGGTGGAAAGAGTCCCCCATATAAATCCCCCCCCCCCCCAGGGGGGCATTTATATGAGGAATCAATAACGGCTGAACCGATTTAGATGAAATTTAGTATGGAGATGCTTTGATTCTTGAGGAAAGACATAGGCTACTTTTTGGCTTTTTTTTGATAACAGACAATAACGCGAGCGATGAAAATAAAAACATGTTTTGACAATTCAATATAACAAGTGTTGATAAATAATTTGAACGTTCCATTATAACTTTTATCTAGTCATTTTATTTTAATATTTATAATTATGGACGAACAACGAGCTTGTTAATATGTTTACATTACTAAAGTAGCCAATAGTATACTATGTAGGTATATACAAATTCACAGAAATCATGTTTGTAATTTTTTTTTTTTTTAATAATTAGCTGCGTAATACGGAATAATAATGTCGATCATGCGGAAACGTAATTGAGAACTGACTGTATGTTCAAAACAAAATTTGAAAGTAGTTTCAACTGAGTAAAACTTAAAACGCATTCTATAATTAGATTGACGCTTAAGTTTTGATCTGAACTTAATACTAATTTCAGATAATCAGAGTTCAACCGATACTTGAGACCTCTTTTAGAATAAGGGCCTCAGGCTATTCTGGCTTTATAGGTATCATTTGGTGGAATAAAATATACCGAATTTTTGGAAACCAGCACGTATCGGAAAAATAATTCGACAGCTTTCTTGACGTTGTCACGCTACAGTAATAGAAAGCAAACTTAGCTTCCCATGAATAATAATAATATAATATTCTACCACATTAACACAACGCCACCTAGTCCCAAAATAACCTGAATATGACCCACCTTATAGAAAATTTTACAATTCGTAGAAATAAGTTGGGACAAGTAATCCCATAAGTATGACGTTTTAAGTATATTTAAATTGTAAATAAAATACCATAACTTGTATTATTGATATCCATTTGCTAAATTTACAATTACCGGTTTGTTTAATCATTTTGTTTACAGAACTGTCATTAAACCAAATGTTTGACTTGAAGAGGCGTCATCCGCACACGGTATTTGCATGTAGTGCATGTGCAGCTTTATTTAAATCTGAAGAAGCCCTGAAAGAACATCAAGAAGTATGTTGCAATATATGTATACATATTTGATTTACCCTCATGTCCCTGTAAGATGATGATAAAGATGTTCCAATAATTGACAAAAATCATGTAGACTACTTTTCAACCCAAATAATTTGCTGCAACGGTAAAAGATATTACTATGACTGGCCTAAGTCATGTTTCACCTTACCAATAATTTTAAATATTGAAAAAAATACAGTATGTTATAGTGTTGTCGTTGTAATTTTTTCTAGTTTTGATATTTTTTGTTTATTACAAAAAAAATAAGTTAGTTAATTTAAAAATGCATTTTTTCATTCCAGAATTAACACAAAATCAATAAATAAAAATAAAAGTTTATTTTGAAACACAGTCACGACTACATGTCGGGTAGGTGACTAAAATTTCTTGTCCGCCAGTTTATAAATGCACACATACTTTGTTTCAGAACGACTGTTTGGAGTCAGATGAAATATTGACCATAGATACAGACAAGATAGACATGGTTGACGCATACTCTATCATTAAGACTGAAAAGAATAAATATTACAAGTGTAAACAGTGTGATGTAAGTGAATTTATATATTCTCTTATGTTATACATTAATTTTATGCATAATATCCTATATAGGCGTACCTGGTTTCATTGTGTCACTGGACGTGACGAGAATTGTGTTTCTTATGGCAGTAACATACATTCTTCTGTAACAATTATATTATAAAGAAAGGATAACCGTAAGTCGGTTATCTTATTTTTACTACTTTAGCAGTAAAGGGCTCGTGGGTAAGTGGTAACCGACACACATTGCAAAGTTAGGCAATCCTTGCTTGGTCAGTCTATGGATGGGTGCCGATTTTTAACCCATTGAGACCCCTCCGTGCCTCGGAGAGCACGTTAACCCGTCCGTCACGGCTGCCATACGAACATCTGTGGCAATCATTATAGGTAGTTAGAGCCCTAACAAGTTCGACAAGTATTTCTACATAGCTTCGATATTGACTAGTACTTGGGTTGTGGAGGTCTGATGGCAGTCAAAATCGACTGCACGGATGTAGTGGTTTAAGCGGTGGCCACGGCGTTTCCTACTACGCTGAGTGTTGTGGGTTCCACATGGGACGTCACTTTGTGTGATCTACAAATTGTTGTTGTGAGTGTTCTTTGTGTCCGTTTCATGTGTGTTTGTAAAGTCCCCCGGGACACAGGATATATTCCTAAAAGACAAGCTTATTTAAAAACAAATAGAAATCAGGGAGGCAAAACTTTAATAAGTTCAACCGTATCGTAGTAGATTGATAGCCCACCCGAAGTTTCGGCAAAGAATGGAGGAAGAAGACTACTGTAGTAAAGATTAAGGTAAATAGACGTAGTACTGACACAATACTCACACATTTATGTCCCCCAATTTCATTCATTCAATCATTTTCACCACTATAATTAGTCTCATTCCTTTTCGTAATAGGGGAAAGTCTATTACCATTAATCAGACACTTAACGGATAAACTAGGAAAATTGAGAGCATTAGATGAAAAACGGTAAGACCTGGACTTGGACTGACCTGTAGTAATAATTTCTCAAAATTGTGTTACAGGTACATTTCTCAAAACTCTACCCTTGCGTACGGCATGTCAAAACCCATTTGGGACTTCACCTGTCTAAACCAGAAGCAAATAAAGATAAGGAACTAACAAATGAACAAGGCGACAAAGATAAACCAAAGACACGCAGAGAAGTTTTTAAATGCAAAATGTGTCCCAGTACGTATTTTCATCCTTCTACACTTTCTAAACATATTGTAACACGCCATATTAAAGTTAAGGCAAAATAAATTATATTGAAATGTTAATGTATTGTTTTTATTGATGAACGACGACCATGAACTGTTTGTCCTTAAAGTAGCCTTTTTTTTTTTTTTTTTAACGTGTGGAAATCCCCTCGGACCGTCACCCCTCCGGGGTTTGCGGCGGGGTGGTGTGTCGGACTCGGACCGACTAAAACCACACGGTGTGCCACTCTGCGCCTGTAACAGGAGGGATCCGGGAACAGCTGTTGTTAAGACATCCGGACCCCTCCTAGCGCCAGCCCGCTCCTGGTGCGGGCTCCGTCTCAATGTGGATGTTCCTCTCTTTAGGCGACGTCCGGCACACGCGGACGCCGCCCCCTCGCGGCTGGCCAACTAATGCGGGTGGAGGGGAAACCCACCCCGTCCACCCGCGGCCACACTCAGGGCGGCATGAGGCTGTGGTAGGCGGGCCTCCGCCGCCCGGTTCGCCGGCGGCGGATCGGGTCCGAGTGGAGGTCGTCCTCCCGGGCCCTCTCCGCCGCCTCCTTCCGCGAGATTACTACCTCGCAGAAGGTTGCGACCGCGGTAAAAACAACTGTCGCTACCGGCCATGGAGCGTACTACGGCCGGTAGCGAGAGATCCACTCCGATGACTGCAGTGAGGGCCCGGCGCTGCGCCGCCCATGCGGGGCAGACTGCCAGCGTGTGCTGGGCCGAGTCCTCACTGCAGTCGCAGTGGTGGCAGGCGGGACTCAGTTCCCTCCTAGCGACCGTGTGCAGGTACTTTCCGAAGCAACCGTGCCCGGAAAGCACCTGCGTCAGTCGGAAGGAAAGGGTCCCGTGCTGCCGCCCTGCCCACTCGGCGATGACCGGCTGGAGAGCCTCCACGGCGGCGAAGCCAGCGCGTGGAGTCTCCAGCCGGAACGACCAACGAGCCATCGTGGCTCGGCGAGCGGCTTCGCGCCACTCGCGCACATCCTCGGGCGGAGGGCGAAATCCGCTCTCCGCCCGGTAGTCAGCCACTCGCCGATAAACTTCGGCGAGCACTTCCGCCTCCAAATCCCACGGGGGAGTGCCGGCCAACGCGCATGCCACCTCCGTAGAAACGGTGCGGTAACCGCGTATGGCTCTGACCGCCATTACCCTCTGAGGGCGCCAGAGGCGTACCCTATTCTGGGCGGTCAGAGCCGCCGCCCACACCGGTGCACCGTACAGCGCCATTGACCGGACAACCCCCGTGTACAGCCGTCTTGTCGCGACGCTGGGTCCACCCATATTGGGCAAGAGTCGCCCTAGGGCAGACGCAGCGCCGACCAGCTTTGGAGCAAGCTGTCGGAAGTGCTCGTCGAAGAGCCACCTCCCGTCGAGGATCAGGCCCAGATATTTCATCTGGGGCCCGAACCGGTACGAGGACCGAGTTGACCACGATTGAGGCGCCAGGGGGTGGACCACGACGGGGCCCATGAAATAACAGGGCCTCCGTCTTATCTAGGGCCACCCGTAAGCCCAGCGCCTCAATGCGCCCGAACACCAGGGAGACTCCCCCTGTGGCCAGGCGCGCCGCCTCTTGGAAGTTTGCCCCCCGGGCTGTCACGAGGGTATCGTCTGCGTAACAGATTACACCCAGCCCGGGGGGGAAATCGGCGCGAAGGGCCCAGTCGTACCCTATGTTCCACAAGAGGGGTCCAAGAACAGACCCCTGTGGAACACCGCACGACATGGGCCGACACCTCAAATTACCTTCTCGGTCCTCGTACACGACGGTACGCTCCTCTAAATAGTCTGCCACCAGCCGCCTCAGGTACTTTGGCACCCCATGATAGTAGAGTGCTTCCCTGATGCAGCTGAATGGCAGACTATTGAATGCGTTGGCGATGTCCAATGACACCGCCAACAGCACGCCGCCACAGCTCACGGCCTCTTCGGTCACGGCCCTCAGGCGCAACACGGCGTCGACCGTCGAACGCCCCGCCCGAAAACCAAATTGGGCGTCCGACAGATCGGGGCCCACCTCGCAAAGGTGCCGGACGATGCGGGCAGAAAGAACCCTCTCAAACAATTTGCCCGCCTCGTCCAGCAGCACGATGGGCCTATAGGCCGCGACCGAATCGGCAGGCCGTCCCGGCTTCCGCAATAGGACCAGCTTCCCGCTCTTCCAGCACTCAGGGAAGCGTCCCGACGCCAAGCTAGCGTCGAACACCTCCCCGAGGTGGTCTGCCATGTGGTTGAGGGCCAGGGCCAGCACTCGGGCCGGTACCCCGTCTGGCCCAGGGGCGGTGTTCTTGGAACGGATCCGTAGAACAGCCGCCCCTACCTCCGATTCCCGGACGGGCGGAACATTATCCTCCCCGTGCTCCCCGTCGTCTCCGGCCAAGGAGGCCATCGACGGGGGAGTGTGTTCCGCCCGTTGTGGGAAAAGGCCCTCAACCACTTCTCGCAGGAAGCTGGGCTGGAGAGTCTCCGTAAGGGGGGGGCCCGACGCGCGGAGCTTTTGTCGCACCGCGCGGTAAGGGCGACCCCAGGGGTCACGATTAAGACCCTCCAGCATCTCCTGTCTTTTTTCTTCTTTGGCGCGGCTAATGGCCAGCTTCAGAGTTTTCCGCGCCCGTCGGTACTCCTCATGAAGCCAGTCCTCCTCACCGTCTCCACGGTGACGCCGCCGACTGCGCGTGTAGGACCTCCGGGCACGTGTACAGGCCGCACGGAGGTCCGCCAGCTCCTGGGACCACCAGTAGACCTCCTTCCTTGGAGGCCGACGACCTCGAACGCGGGGCATGGCCGCATCGCATACATGCGTAATCGCATCGCGAAAGCGGCCAGCCCCCACGTCGACCTCCTCGGTCGGAGCCTGAGGAGACAGCCACGAGTGAATTATGGCTGCCTCCTCTAGTAGGTCCCGGTTCAGCCTGGCAACAGCCCACCGCGGAAAGCGGGATAAACGCCGCGCCACGTGACCCCTACTGGAGTCCTGGGTCCGGGAGAGCTCAAATCGGATATACAGGTGATCCGAGAGCGTCTCAACCTCTTCCAGGACACGCCAGTTCCTTACTCGTGCGGCGAGGGCAGGGGTAGCGAACGAGAGGTCCACTATCGACCCCCCCTGCTGTCGCACGCACGTGTTGGTGGAGCCTCTGTTCAGAAGACAGAGGCCCACCGAGGCCGCCCACTCCTCTACGGCCTCGCCCCTGGCGTCCGTCCTGGGGGAACCCCACGCAATGGACTTTGCGTTGAAGTCCCCCAGCACAAGGACGTGCCCAGACGCTAGTCGCCGTATCGAGGTCTCCAAGTTGGTCAGGAAAACCTCGAAGTCGTTCAAACTCCGGTTGGGGGAGAAATAGACACCATATATGGTGATCCCCCCCCACTCGACGGCAACATATCCAGTGCCCTTGTCTCTTAGCGACAAGGGCGGGGAATGAGCCGTCGTGGAACCGACGACTGCCACGGAGCCGTCCCAGTCACCCATCCAGTTTGGACGGGGAGGGACAGAATAGGGCTCCGCGACTACGGCAACACCTATCGACCACTGTGCCATGGTTTGCAGGAAGAGATCCTGCGCCGCGGCACAGTGGTTCAGGTTCGTCTGGACCAGGAGGTTGGAGACTTGATCCATTACTGGATCGTCTCTACAACCTCCTCCATGGGCGACGACGACGACGCACGTACTACATCAGAGGCAGCCTGGGTCGACTGGCTAGCCCCTGACGTCTGCCGAGAACTGCGGGGAGGCTTGCAGCCTCTCTGCCCCATCTGGTGATTGGCGGGCTTATTGCCCGCCGCACACACTGGGCAGTGAGGGGCGGCAGAGCATTCTGCCGCCTTATGCCCCGGTTGACCGCAGCGGAAGCACAGTCCGCCGCAGTCGAAACAGCTGTCGCACTTGACGCGCGTGTGTCCCGATGCTAGGCATTTGTAGCACCTCATCGGTCTCGCCGCCAGGACTGTGATCCTGGCGCTCACGAAACCGATGAGCAGCCTGCCGGCGTCGGCCAATACTTTGGCCGACGCTACGGGACAGCTGACCCGTCCTTAAAGTAGCCTACTGTAAGCCTTTACTGTTACTATTTTTACCCATGCGCATAAACGTTTTAATAGTCTTGTTGTCGTAATAGTATCGTGGGGGAATTCTTTTCGTGTATGCACAAAGTTGTGGTCAAATAATCAGCTCTCTTTCACCTAGATTTCACATAATCCTGTCTCAGTTTTCACTAGTTCGCTCTTACTACTCATTTTTTTCTTAACTTTATGAGAGTATCGCTATTGAAGGTACTAAAGTTCCATTAAGTAGAACTTAAGATATAAAATAAACAATCCATATTTAAAAAAATACCAAGTTTATAACTATGCTATTTTATATGTCGAAACTTCATTTAAACAAGTTTTTTTCTCTGACGGCGACGTGTTTTCAAGGTATTAAGGATAACCTAAGCATGTCATTAAGACTTGAGAGGTAAATCCAAAGACCAAAGGCCCAGAATCCCTCTCATTTTAATTGTATAATGGCATAACATGTGGTTTTAGGTTCCAGTCGAAACATATCAGGAGACGAGCCTGGGTAGTAAAAATACTATAAAAAGGAATTGTGTATATAATCATACCTTTAATAATAAAATACGCATTTTTCATGAATTAATATTCAGAAAACTACAAAAAGCTTTTATAAAAGTTGTTTAAAATATATCATCCGAAAATATATTCTCTAATCCATCCAATAAATCATTTGATTCATTATCAAGTACACTATTTAACCTGCTATTTGTACCTGTAACCAAATAAAAATGCATTAAGTTTTGGATAAAACATTGGAAATTACTACACAGAATTAGAATAATGCAGTGGTTTTATCTGAAATAAATCAATAAAGCAATGATTTTATCACAATTAAATCAGTTAATAGTGTACATAAGTACATCTGTACATAAAATGAGTTCTGTTGGGTTATGGCACTGGCTGCCTCTAATATTTTGTTTGAAAATATGTTACTGTCAAAGACTGCAACCTTCCCTATAAAACTACACTAGTGACATCCACCAGTTCTAATGATGATAGCGCTATGAGAGTTATTCACGTAGTATTACTAGATGGCGATGATAGTTAAAAATTGCCAAATTTCGTATAGTGAGTTGCGATGGTGGTGTAATGGTCAGCATGATTGCCTTCCAAATTTCGTTTAGTGATAGTTTGATTCTAAGCGTGCCATATTACTCTCATATTAGAGTTAACCCCTCCAGCTAAGCTTTATACTTGAATTAAGAGTGTATTGGGTTGCAAAGAGAGTAGGTGGTACCGAAACCGTTTCAAGAGTTAAGAGTGGGCTGTTTAAAATTTAATGAGGCAAGTATTGGTCTAGTATAAACACTCATGATATTTATATTTTACGAATGTGTCTCATAGCCAATATTTTTAAGTTCATTTATGTCAATCATTAACCGTCCTGTCGGTCTAGTGGTTGGTTACTCTTGCTGCTGGTTACAAATAATTGTGTGAAGAGCATGATCAGTATGTTGCACACTTACCTATATTCTGTACACTATTCTGAGTTTTTATCACAGTATAATCATCTTCATAAACTATAGAATACCCATCAGGTAGAGGCTTGTTCTCTGCCTCATTGTTTAAAACAGTGGAACTGTATACAGCTAATATGTTACTTAATGTTATGTTGAGGTAGTGTTTCTTGAAGGCAGCACCGGTAGTAAGTATTGTAGGCTTCCATAATATAAATGCACAAAATTCTGATGCTATGTATTGTGAGAAAGCTGACCAGGCATCCCTGTGGAGTGTTCCTTTTATATTGCCTAAAAGAGAACACCACTTGAATTAATTATATCCGGAATTAAATGTATAAGTGAAATAAAATACATATAGAGGAATATACAGGTGGTACTGGACTCTATTTTTTGCCTTAAAGAAACTCACTGCTTTGATATGTAACATTGGCAGAGGGTAAGACCCACTGTTGGCGTGGCCACCGAATTCGTCGTCATGCTATGTGATAGTGTAATTATGTAAAATGTAATGTGAAGTATGTGTGTTTCTTAAAACATGAAATAACCCTTGCAGGCAAAGATCCTATTCTCTCAGGCTGTTACTGAAATTTAATTCCTCAATTTTAAAACATGGAAGTTTAATACTTACTGTCTAAAGTCCTTTTTAGATTCTATATGTTACAAATTGCAGCTTGGAATATTTGTAAGTCAAACAGCACTTTTTAAATAGCAACATTTGAAAATTCTTCTATAAAGATCATGTACCAAGCAGAAAAGAAAATGTAAAAGGCTATTTATTAGAGAATGATAGCTCATTTTGTTGAAGTAAACAGCAGTAAAACACTAAATCACACATAACTCACCAGTTGTATCCCTCATCATTATGAATGGATCTGAGACAGATCTATCAATTGCTTCCACAAAAGCTGTGATGGTGTGAGCTTTTCTTCTCCTCAAGCTACCTGTGATTGCTTGTTCTTTAATTGTTTTAATAGAATCAACATTTTTTAAATTCCAATGCTTCAAATCATCCAGTAACCTTGTCCACAATGGAGATTCAAATAAATCCCCTCTTAAATTAGTTTGACTGAAATTGACATCCTGAAAGAAAAATTCTAAAATAATCCATACTTATATTATAAACTAGCTGGTGCCCGTGACATCATATGTGTAATTTGCAAAGTGCTGCCTTAGCGGCTTCGATTCCCAGACCATGCAAAATTTTATATGGTTTTTCTGAGCTACCTGGTGGTAAAATATTATCAAAATTGGTCCAGCCGTTTTTTAGATTACCCGGAACAAACAGACAGACATAAACTGGTTTTTTGGTATTGACATGGTATTTTCTTCACCAGTGGAAAGCTACATTATCAGCGAGTAGCATAGGCTATTTTTTAAAATGATAACCGACATACACGCGGGGCGGAGCCACAGACAAAAGCTAGTATGTTATAAAAACGAAAGTGAGTTTGTTTGTTTGTTACCCTTGCATGCCTAAACCATTAAACTGATTATAAAAATTCTTTCACCAACGGAAGGCTATATTATCAGCGAGTTACAAAGCTACTTTTTAATGATAACTTTACACATCTCACACCTGCTTGTCTGATCCCAAACTACCTGACTACTACAGACCCTGTACTAAGGTAACTAGCTGCTGCTGCTAACTGGTGTTAAACAACTTTAGACCCACCACAATAAATGATCATGCTAACCACACAATTATTTGTCTAAGTGGAAATCAAACCCACAACTTACAGGCCAGTCTAAAAATAATATTTTAACACTATAATTTTTTTTACAATATGGTATGTAAACATTTATTTACATATGAAAATAAATTTTAAAATTGGATATGCCCTGCCACCACCACTAAACAAGTCTACAACACTTTCCACTATAAAACAACAGCTCTGTTATGGTTTATATTTAACCTATATTCTGCAACCAATACATATTTATATGTTTTTATTACAATAATAATATAAATAAATAGTGTATTAAGATACCAAAGACACAAGAAAGGTTAAAGTTTATTAATTATTAATATAAAAGGGCACTATTTCTTACTTGTGACAGTAATTCCATTTGGCAAATAGGTTCATCTCTGTTACCTTGCAAATCACCTGTCAGAAGACCAGCTGGGCCTGGAAATTTTCTTTTGCTTTTATGATCAAAGTAAGAATTAATCATATTTCTTTTCATGTGTCTGGGTGACTCCATTTCTTTAGCAGTTTTCTTTTCGTTTTGTAATGAATTGCTTTGAATTTCTTCATTACTTTGATTACGAGTGCTTTCATTTCCTCTATTTTCAGTGTTCACATAGGCTACGTCTTTAAATTGTTCAGATATAGCAGGCCGAGGTGTATCACCTTCAGATTTTGAATCGGTACAATCTTCAGGAAATTTAAATTGTGATAAAACCTGGAATTAATTATTGTCTTTGTAACACATGAAACTAACACTGCACGGCTTGTTTAAATTATGACTTTATTGTTACCTGGTCAAAGTCATCGGATTCAAACATTATAACTTTATTTTACATATAACCCAATACGGTAGAAAACAGAATTCTAGAGATTTATTTTAGTTCTCGCGCGCATTAACTTTTATGACAATTGAGTAAGGAGAGTACAATACATATTATTATATATTATAGACAGTAGACACTGTTTTTGAAATCTATCTCCCAAATCTGTTGAAAGTCATAAATGACACTGACAGCCACAGAACATATATACCCTTACTGACAGCATTGACACTCCAAATTGGAAATGTGAAAAACTGTAAAAGCACCATACCGAAACCATCTTTTCTCGCAGTGTGTCACTTCTTTTGTCCTTGAAATGAGGTCAACTTACTTTTTCCTTTCTCATACCTACTAGTTTTAATTGAATTGTAATGAATGAATGTATTTTGTTTGGGGAAATACTCGAAACATTTCATCTTGCACCTTCTTCTGTTTTAATAAAAATATATATCAAATATTGCGTCTTGTAAGCATAAGAATATGTTTGCAGTTGTTACTTACAACAACGTGAGTTACCATGACTAATTGGTTTACTATAACTACCTTATGTTTATGAAAATCTTCATAATATTTGAGATTTCTGACACACTACACCATCTAGTTATAAACTAAGCTATCTAGTTTTATAAAAACTAGATTGACTAATAGAATACCTTTATACTTTGTTGTAAATACATATATATTTTACATAGAAAACATCCAAACTCCGAAACAAATATTTGCAGATCATAAAAAACATGTCCGACCCGCGAATCGAACCTTAAACCTCAGTGCAGCAGTCGCATACGCTACCACTACACCACCGAGGCAGTTATGTTTCATTGGTTGAATGTAGGTTCTTTGGTTGAATTCAATGAATGAAAACATCCTACTATTCCAACTTCTACTACATCTATACTCACCTTAAGGATTTCTATGAATGTCAATCAAAAGCGTATCAACACATCACACATCAACAGCCTTTACTAGTCCACTGCTGGACATAGGCCTCTCCTTAGGAAGGAGGTTTTGGCCTACTATACCACGCTGGCCAGACGGGTTGCTATAGGGTTTGTTTCAAGTTTTCCTTCTCTCTGCAGTGCTGTTGTCCTGCGCATTTTGCTTCCTTAGTCGCCTTTTACGACACCCACGGGATGAATAGGGGTGGTGACACTCTGTATTCTTAATCCGTCACCACACGGACTCAAACATTATAACTTACACAAACTTACAAACTTACAAAAACGTATCAACATTGAAATTTAAATACAGGCACTCTAGATGATCATAAAATCCAATTATTAGATGACATTATGTATTAAACGGGTGTCAAACGTGTAAGTCGTTTGTCAAATCCAATCACAACGAATATTTCAAAAACTTTAGATTTTTGTACATTTTTATTATTTCAAAATCTATAAAATGGCTGTCTTTAATCCTATTAGTAATACTACTCCTAAATTTACAGAAGAGCGACTGGAAGAAACGCTGAAATGGTTCGACGATAATGCTCAACCTCTCTTAATTACAGATGAAGGAGGACCAACAAACGTCGTAACTATCGAACAGCTACTACAATTTTTGGATCTTAAGAAGTATTTACAAAAAATTGTAAAGAGCGTAGGTACACGCTCTATACGAAAGTCGTAAAACTCACAGTACGTCTTCTTACAGATTTCATAAAAGAAGCTTTCACTACCCCACTTATCACGAGATCATGACTGAAGTCGAAAAGTTAAAAGCTGATGTAACGAGAATGTTAACTCGAGAGCAATTTATTTATATTTTAAATTTGTGGTTTTTACATCCTGATATAAAACATGAATTAAAACTCGCCTTTCAGGTAAACGTATTATTATTCTTTTAAAATATTTATAAACAATGAAGCCTTTTTATAAATGTCAGTACTAGAGAATTGTCTTTGATAAAATATGTTTCTATTCACAAAAAAATATTGTAGGTTTTTGATACAGAAAAAAGAAACTATTTGGAGATTGACGAAATCAGGTCCATAGTAAAAGATAATGCAGACGTATTTGATGAAATTGAGACAATGGAATTGATACGAGACGCTAACGTTTCTGGTAGTGGGAATGTATGTTATGAAGATTTTGTCGAAAGTATTTTTAGATCAGCGCCTGAATTATGTGAATTAAAGGTAACACACCTTTTAAAACTTAACATATCCACATATCCAAATATACAAATAATTGGCGTCTTTGCCTAGTATGTACTTCAGGATTTTATCAATACGGTTGCTACAACAATCGCTTTTGTTTTCTCCCCAACAACATTTATTTTGCCAGTGTCGGTGCCCTTCAAGTACCAAGATATAATTACGTTGATAGACGTTAAATGTCTGAATTAAGCAATCCTCCTCTTCTTTCATTTTTCATATCTCATAAGCATTAAATTTGACAATGTTACTGTAAAAAATAAAACAGTAGGTATGTTATTTAGGATTAGTTTTAGAAAGAAACTTTTCATTCATCGAACCAGTATTACCTAGGTATTTGACCTCTTTGGTAAGAGCAAGTTGCGTTCCAAATAGCTTGGGAAGTCTGCGGTTTCCTAGACTGCGTTTGTTTGTGAACATGATCATCTCTACATCGTTACGTAGAGATTTGGCTTCACTCTGCATTCTCTATCGCATATATCATGGAGAGTGCTCTGAGGAATTGTTTGTTTGAGGAAATTTCACCCTCATCACCTTGATAGGTGGCGCCTTTTCGAGACACTTTTTGCCCCCACAACCAATCTGTGGAACGGGTTATCGTCTGCGGTATTTCTGGATCGATATGACCTTCAAACCTTCAAGAAAAGAGAGTATCTAGTCTTTCCTAAAAGGCCGGCAATGCGTTTGTGACTCCCGAGTTGCAGACGGGCGGCGATGGTGATTTTCCATCAGGTGACCCGTCTGCTCGTTTGCCCCCTCTAATATTAAATAAAAGTCAAAAAAGGGCATGATTAGATGATCCTTGCCAGATACAAAATATTCTGGAAAGGGTAAGAGGGCGACTTCACCCAAAGAGGCTCTATATTATATGAAGATTATTAAGTACAAATATCGCTCACTTAGGACCCATAATATTTTGCGGCCGTGGTGCTTCCCTGTTTAAAAGGGTGTATGCCCATTTGAAGCGATTTTATCTTATAGGAAGTCTCTTCTCTCCTTCTCTTTCATAGAGAAATCACTGATTCAGTACTATATAAATTAAATCTGAGGCAGTTCTTCCGATAATATAATAAAATGAATTAAAATTGTTATTGACGCAGGCAGACCACTTGTACGATGATCCGAACGAGGATCCTTCTATACCACCAGATCTAGAACCAGTTGCACCTGCAGCAGTTGCAAAAAATACACCTCTAAACGTTGATGATAGAAAGAGTAGAAATTAATATAATGTTATGGATGTTATTTTTACAATGTTGTATATGTTTTACTATAAATTACTTTATTTTTGAAAATTTGTTTAATTTCCTATACCTATTCCTACTCGTAGTACTAATCTATCAGAGCTTGAATTTCATTATCTTAATTATTTATCCGTGGTCACAAGCTGACTAAATAGCTAGTTAGAAGATATATTATACATATATTTATTATATTATACATAATTATATCGTCTAACTAGGTACAATAAGCTTTAAACGTCAACATCGGCTAAACCTATGGCCTAGATCCTAGTGAAACTTATGTACTCTATGGAGTTTACTGCAGATCCAGTAAAATAGGCGACAAAATCTATAAAATCCCATTTTACTCCTGAATAAGTACCACAAAACTTGTAGAAGTTTGTGATAAACAGCTCATAAATGGCCATCGACACGTCTAGCTATATCTAGCTAATCACGAATAAGATATTTCGATCAAGATTTTGAATTATAAAATTACATGTCGATACAGAAGGTAATAAATAGTCAGTTGATTGAATTAGAAATGTATAATGGAAATATGTGTTGTGTTATTTTTGAACATCGGCATATCGATACGAAATGTAGCTCCATAGAGCCACACAGGCCACCGCGCCAGACCGGAGTTGCTTATTGTACCTATTGATGGATTAATTAGTCTTTACACTCATATTTAATTAAGAGTTCTTAATTACAGTTAGCAGATTAATTGAAATAGCGTATAATAATAAACGTATTAATTCATAATATGTTCACGAAATTTCGTCGCTTTATGCGTTAACGCTTCACATTCCCACAGCGTGTGCTTTCTCATTCGCATCAAGGCAGAACTAAATTTAATTTACATCCACATATAAAATCCACATATAAAATCGAGATATTAGCAGTAACAATTAAGATGGCTAAGAAATAAGAATTCACAATTAATTAAATTAAATCTATTAACATTAATGCCCATAAATAGTTGTACCGTGTTGCTCTATGTGTAACTCTAAAAATGTTATCTTTTTTTTAAATTGTGTATCTGTGCAATTCTTTTCTTTCTTGTTGTTCTTGTCTTTGATTCGCGGATGACATGACATCAGACATGTCGTTTGTGATGTCGTTCATGTAGGCAATGATTAGTGATTTGAGGCAAAACAATTTCGGTTTCATGCTTTTTCTTTGATGTAATTTGTGTTAATATGTATTACTAAGTATATTTTATGAACTTTTACACGTCATATTAGTTGTCTTTGCTGTTTTAAATAGATTAAAAATAAGATATCTTAACTAGGGCAATGGATCTCGAGGATAATGCCATGGGTCTAACCCAGGACCAAACCGATAAAATACTCCAATTTCAAGATTTAACTGGAATAGAAGATATGTCAATATGCAGGGACGTTTTACAAAGGCATCAGTGGGATCTTGAGGTAGTACCGATGTCAACATCCTTTCGACAATTTAAGTTAATAAAAGATTGAATGGTTTAAAATTGTTTATCCTTGATTTGCACAGTATATGAATATTAATTTTTATAGGTGGCGATTCAAGAACAACTTAATATTAGAGAGGGTAGACCCTCAGTGTTCGCGACAGAAGCACGTGCGCCTCCTGTTGTTCACGATCACATAGCACAGCAAGTTTTCACAGACGAACCCTCGGAAGGGCCCGCTGGCGTGCGTGGTCTATTTCAATATGTAGTAAACCTTGTTGTGTCTATGTGCTACAATACAATATCATCTGTTTTAAATTTATTGTTAAGTTTTGTACGAAATGATGACAGACGATGTAAGTAACACTTTAATAACTATTTGTAATACCATCTTAATTTTATACTCAGGAACTCAGTTAAAAGAATTTTGTAGTTGCATGTCAACAATCTACATCAATTTTTTTAACCTTATAAGATCTAAAACTGGATATTTTAAGTAATTAGTAGGAGTGATTACTCTCGCTAACAACTCAAAATTTTGAACTGATAGAACCAGTTTGAACTAAGTAGAATAGGTTTAGGTTGCCTGTAAGCGATTGCCTCTGAGCGATAATAATTATTTCACAAAATAGTTACGGCTATGTACAATTTTTAAATATCATCATCAACAGCCTTTAATAGTCCACTGCTGGACATAGGCCTCTCCTTAGAAAAGAGGTTTTAGCCTACAATACTACGCTGGCCAGATGGGTTGGTATTTTTAAATATAAAAATCCTGTTTATAAATTCTGTTAACTTTACCATAAAAATTAAAACAAAGACAAATTATATATTTAGTAGATTTGAATCTCTATGTGAAAATTCTTTTACAGTGGTTACTGATCCTCTAGGAGATGTGATGGGCTTCATAAATAGCTATCAGTCACGTTTCAACCCGCACCCAGTATTCTACCAGGGCACATACGCTCAAGCTCTTAATGATGCCAAAAATGAGCTGCGTTTCCTCGTAGTGTATTTACACTCAGAATCAGCAACTGAGACACAGAATTTCTGCAGGTAATTGTTTGTCTCACTATTATTTTTAAAGTATGTAAGTAGCAAGTAGTTTAGTGTGGCTCTTAATTGTACAACCTATTTATTTTATGTTATGTCAGTATTTGCATTATTTCTTAAGCTTTTGATTTAAGGGAAACTAAACTTACTTAAAGAGGTTCTCAATTCAACAGTTCTTTTTTGTATCTGCTACATAATATCTTGTTAACTGATTCCTGTACTTTTTCTAATTGACAAATTATCAAAATTAGTACATTGTACTTGTATATATATATAAAAAATGTTAATGTGTGAATGTTGGTGTGTGTATGCTTTAAAGACTTAAAAAAATCTACAAGGATTGAGCTCAATTTTTGCCATGATGTTTAAAACACACAAATATTGTTTTTATCTATTTATACATATAGATAAATCACGTTCAGACAAAGATCAAATGATTGTGTTCATCAAACAATATTTCACCTGGGTGGAAATTGAACCCACCTCTGGCTGAGAGGTGGGTGCTAATCACTACAGCAATAGGCCAGTTAAAATACTTTCTTGATAAATACTATGATAAAACTGTGGTAACATGAGCCTGAAGAGTAGACATAATCTTTGTAAAACAATTTTGAAATTAACATAAAATTAAAGCGTAGAAGTAGTTCATTCTAATTTTATATTAGATTCTATTTGAAGACTTGTAAGTTTTAGTAAATCAATAAATGACTCTTTGCAGGACAACCCTTGCAGATCCTGAAGTTATTCAATACATCAACACACATGCACTCTTTTGGGGTTGTTCTGTAGACACTGCAGAGGGTTGGCGTGTAGCTCAATCCGTTGGTGGACGACGGTATCCTCTACTTTGTGTAGTTTGTGTACGTGATCACCGTATGACTGTTGTTGCGAGGAGCGAAGGGTCATGCTCAGCGTCACAACTGCTACAACGCCTGCGTCGCGTTGTAGCCGATAATGAACCACATCTATCGGCAGCTAGAGCAGATAGGTAAGTGTTATATCTAAATAACATTTTTGAGATAATCACATTGTCATAGGATTTGATTGTGTGGAGCATTTTCCTAGTATAAAAGAAAAGTGTTTGTAATATTTAACAAATGAAATGAGATATTTGGAACTCATAATTTAAAAAAATTGTGAAAGTATATTGTGTATAGATTTGGCCATGTCATGGGACTAATCCCGCCCACATGCCCACCACTGTAACTCCTGTACACCAGGATCCACAGCAGTGACCCACGAACACACCGAGTTATGACACTCGGGAAGTCCCAGGAAGAAATTAAACTGTCTTGGAACCCGCAACGAAATTAATCAGAAGAAAATTGGAGGAGTTGGAAATACAGTAAATCCACTTCCCTCCTTAGCAAAGCGGGAGACAAAATGAAATAAAAATGGGCATACACCCTTTTAAACAGGGAAGCACCACGGCCACGAAATATTACGGGTCCTACGTGAGCTATATTTGATTTCTATAATATGTATGGCAGAATCGCCTAAACGCACGGAAATTCACCCTAGTTGACACAAGATCCCCATAGTATACCGCCCCAGATGTCACCTGCAAGGTATTCAGCATTATATTACGTTCATTATACCAAAGACTACATTCCCAGAGGATATGATGAGCAGACTGTTCATAGTGAGAGTTAGGTGTTGAGCATTGACACAATGGTGACTCGACTCGACATGGCCATGTCATGATAGGTGAAGATATATTATTATGTTTACTGCACAATTGAGTTGGTACAGTGAAATAAAATGAAATAACAAATAATGAATTATAATCCTAACCAGAGTTGTTGCTGATTCAGGTTTTTACTGTATCAGTGGAAGTTGATGCTAATAATTTACTTAAATAAAACAAATCCTAGTATAACATTATTAGCAAATGTGACTTCATATTTAAATGAAACACAAATTATCTATACATCCATTCTTATATACCTATTTATGCTTATGTATAATAATATAATATTCTACTGCATTCACACAATGCCATCTTGTCCCAAACTAAGCATAGCTTGTACTATGGCTACTAGACAACTGATATAAATACATACATAGGTATATTTTGTAAATACATACTTATTATACATAGAAACACCCAGACCAAAAATTTTCATCAACACAAATGTTTGACTTGAGGAGGAATCGAACTCGCGACCTTTGGAATAGCAGTCCGTTACATAAACCAGTATGCTATTCGGGCGTCTCATATACATTATCCATACTTCCATATGAATCCATACTGATACCCGCAACAAACCTTTTTTTTTTTTTCCGTGCGGCAATCCCCTCGGATACCACCAGGTGGCATGTCGGACTCGAACCGACTAAAACCGCACGCCGTCTCGGGTATTAATAGCCGGAGAACCAGGTATACTTTAGAAAGGAAGTCCCTGGTGCCCCGACATACCCGCAACAACCCTGGTCGTAACTTCTACCATAAAAGTATCAGTATGATAGAGACAATACTTAGTTATTTAGAAATATCGAGAGCATATATTTAGTCACTCATCTTTGTATCGGTTAGGTCAAAATGAGGAATAGTATATTAAAAAAATGTAAAATGTCTGCATTTACTAGGATGGAGCGCGAGGTAACAGCTCGCTTGCGTGCAGCACAAGACGAGGCCTACGCGGAGTCGCTAGCGGCTGACCAGGAGAAGGAGCGCCGCCGGGCCGCAGATCGTGCTGCGAAGGAAGCTAGAGAACATGAGGATCTACAGCGTAAGCAGCAAGAGGAGAGACACAAACTAGAGGTAAACTTACTTTCTTAAACTGTGATTTGAAGGATTTGGTCTTGAAACTACATAATCGAATTTGGTGTTAGGTGTATTTTCAGTCCTAGTATCTACAGATTGTTATTAGTGAGCTTCTACTTTTAGCGTCACGAATTTATATTGTCAGTTAAATTATTATATGTTTTGTTTGGGATACTTAAATTGTGATCTACTTGGACACACTAAAACATATTGGTATTTCTAGATTTTTGATGCAAGAACTGACATGTCTTGAGCTGCGCATCTTTGTATGACTCGTATTTAAATGTACTTGGGTAGTACAACATCGAGGTACAAGATCGTGCATGCTAATCGTAAAGCGTCACGGAGTCTCCAAATACAGGCATTATTTGCTTTAAGGGAAGCTTCAATAACGATTATTGTTATACACATTTTGCTAATGAATAAAATATTTGTATTTGTAAAAAAACATTAATTTTTGATTCATTGAAACATTGTGTAGCAATACTTAATAATATATCCAACGTTTTACACGTAAAATTCCCTTATGTTTGCTTATTTATTCTCTGAGGTAGAAGGTAAAGACAAACATGGCTGGCTGAATTTAACAATTGAAATCATAAAAAAGTACATAGTATGAAGTAAGTTAAAAACGCGATGTTATCGACAGTTGGTAGCGGCTCGGGCGGCCATGGCGAGCCGGCTGGCGGCGGAGCCGGCGCCCGGCAGCCACACGGTGGTGCTGCTCATCCGCCTGCCCGGCGGCGAGAGGCTCACGCGCCGCTTCTCGCAGCTGCACACTACACAGGTACACTTCTCATAATTATACACTACACATATCATTTTAATGTATAACTTTTTTATTTACGCTATTCTGAAATCTGTGGGAGCGATTTCGTGAAACCGTAACCGCTTTCCTTGTACACATTGGTCAAACGAACTATTAATAAACTAAGAAATGTATGTTAGTTGCAACGAATACTTTGATTTCTATTTTCGTTACTATCATAACTATATCTCATATATTTAAATGGTGATTTCATTCCTGTTTTAAAACCCTAAAGCCTAACTTCTAGACACATAACTGACATAACTTTAATTTAAAAGCTTTCGCTTAAATAAATAACTAAATATTTAGGTGACATTACCTATAGTTAAGCGTTATTTTTCTTTAACTAATTAAATTGAGAAAGAGACATGGAGAGACCGATGAGTTGGTTTCTCAAAAATTCATATTTTTTACAGTACAAATATTCATTGAAAATAACCAGTCTTAAACTAATTGATTAATTAAAAATCACAAGAAACCTAAATTTACTTTAAACATTTCCAGGACTTGTACGACTTTGTGTTCAGCCACCCGCAGTCTCCGGAAGAGTTCGAGATTACAACTAATTTTCCGAAGCGTACGATTGCACGCGGACTGACCAACATAGCGGACGTGGGTCTCAAAGATCGTGATGTATTGTTTGTCAATGACATTAATGCATAAAATGCACCTGTGCTTAAATATAGTTTATATGGTCTCGTTAGGTAGTTATGTGAAAAGTCATTGAACTTTTATTTTAAACGGTATTCGGCAGGTCCGTAGCGGAAACTGTACATATAATACAATGAGCAAGTATAAACCAAAATATGAATGTGGACACTGATTGACAATGTGAACAATAAGACTAATTTAAATTGATAGAGCTAAATGTAGAAAGGAATTGGTTTATATGAATTTTCTTTTTTTAAATAAGTAAAAAGGATTTTTTAGGAATTTTTTCACTTGTTAGAAGGCACAAGGCAAAACAAAGGCAACCTAGTTTTTTAGTTATAACGACATTGGGGTCATTCATTTACTTATTAAAGTATGTAATACGAAAAAGATTTTAATTATTAAACGTAGACTGTTTTTTTTATATTAATAAAAGAAGAACTAGTAAGTATTCCTGTTAATCTTCCAACTAAGCTAAAATACGTGAGTTCACGTCGGTAATGCACTGGTTGTGGTTAGAACTCGTATCCGATGCATTTGCCACTACGGTTCTAGTCGCAAGTCCGATGCGCATACCACTATGCTGTCGCCGCACTTGCATGTCAAATGTTTTTACATTACAATGAACAAACTGCAAAAAATATACGAGGTCAATGTCACACACATTGACCTCGTATATTTTTTGCAGTTTGTCCGCTGTGTAAATTATTACAGTTTTATATGTGTGTGAATTGTAAATTGTGTGTGTAATTCTTTTCTTTATTCAAATGTTTGCAAATTATTATTATTTTAAAACCATTCTGCGTTATTGATTCCAATTTTTCTAGCAATAGTTCATTAAAATCACAGGTACTTCTTACCACTGACCAGGTATTTCATTCGCCGTGTGTACTTTGTATTTTGTATGATTAATGTCTGTAAAACCTTCTGTGTTACTCACTGTAATGTAATACAGAATGAGACAAAAATTAACATTGATTCTTTAATCAAAAGACGTTAAAAATTGTTTACATTGTCAATAAGTTTAAAATAACATTGATTATATTAGTGTGTACAACGATATGCTATCAATTACAATGTATGAATGTTTAATTGTTTCAAACGCGTTTATTTATTCATCACACATTAGAGAAACTGTCGACACCAGGAGATAATGATGGGAAAAGAATATTTTTTGTTACTAGGTTATCATACAGAGACTCCAGAGATACCAAACTCACACTAGCCCCCCTGAAGTTAACCTGCATCTAGGTCGTTAAGCGACAAACGAGAAAACAAAATTCTTACTCTTTTAAGATTGTTAGGAACAGCAAGCATCATATAATGCCCAATATATGAGTAGATTGACAGTACAAATGCGTTTTAAACAATTTCTATGTCTACAATTGATTCGTTGGCGACATAACAAAGATTAAGGAAAACCGAATATATGTAGTGTCTACTGCCATATTATGGATGTACTTAAGGGCATCGAAACTATGAATGTGTTGTCACGGGTCTGATACATCATGTAACAAATGTTTTGACCTATGTATGACTAAATTTAATTCATTTATCATTTGACTATATGTGTATCAAAATGTCAAATTTCAATGTGCATTTATTTAAAGATAAGTAACACTGCTCATCCTTCTTCCTTAAGCCTTCTGACGACCAAAGAGACTTAATTATCACTACATTTAAAAAAGTTCACACAATACTCAAGAATAGTCCGGAATGATCGCTGAGGTCGCTGGGTCACACTTCTATTCACTTCAATCGCTACGATGTTTATCGTACTGTACCTCGAACTGAACTAACTAAAAGAAGACATGGCCGTTTTTATAATACTCGTAAAAGATCATTCTAGCAAATTTCAATCCTAACGAGAACCGTCCCCTCCTGAGAAATACAAATTAGTTTTGAATGTAAACAAGATAATCGCGACAATCAATTTAGATCTTATGCGTATTGGTATAGAACTTATTGTTCTGTGCCAATCCGCACCATTACTGAATGGTACCCGGAATTGCGCGGCCAATCGAGCCTTATGGAATGTGCGTGATTTTCTTAATGACAGTATTCTTGGTAACATGTTTAACTGAAGTAAATACTAATATACTACAATAGTTAGAATTGCATGTTGAAACTCATCATCATAATTATCAACAGCCTTTAATAGTCCGCTGCTGGACATAGGCTTCTCCTAAGAAAGGAGCCTACTATTGAAATTACGTTGAAACCCACGAGTCGTTAATTTATTGTGACAACCATTTCCATAACATGCATGCAATTTGTTTAACATACACCTATCGAAAACATTAATTTTATTAGCTCTAGCTAGAATCGGTACTTGAAAGTTAGTGAGTTATAATGTGTTAGCGTACCTACCTAAGTCTATAAAAAATATTCATATACCTACTTCATAAATACATTGTTTTAAAATTTCCCACATCGTAAGTGTTTAAACCGATTATTATACTATAGAATACTCATAGTAATATTACCTATCATCATACGACTGAGTTGGAGGGTAATAACTTTCGTATTGGCAGGATAACACCTCGTTGGTATCCAATAACGCTTTCAAGATACTAATGGAGCTGCGACGGTACTGTAGTGGTGGGTAGTATGTTTGCAGAGGCACTACTATCGATGAACAATCTATAATGACGTGCATGGGCGGCAGCCCTAAAACCCCTTCCGCACAGCGATATTTCACCGCGCCTTTTTATTTCTTCGCAAATTTCTGTGGAAATAAATCGCTAACGTATCGCGTTAATTTTGAATCAAATTACAGTTTTTTTTATTATTTTTTATGCGAAAAAACAACGCGGTGAAATATCGCTGTGCGGACGGGGATTGCCGCGCTACTAAAATTGTAATAAATATCATCAATGTAATAATATCAATAAATCTTAATAATAAATTGGTGATCCTTATTGCCAATGGCCCCGTTTTCAATTATCAATGACTAATATGAATTAACAATGAGCGGTAATCAATTTACAGCCAACCTGATAACACTGTTTTATTTAAGGACATTACGTTGATACTTTGTAATAAATAGTCTTCGGTCTTTAAGGGTTAATGTTCCTAAAAAAATGATTTCGGAGTGTTGTGTGTACTGGAGTATTAGAAGTTTTAATGAAAACCCGCAATTCCAATTGATGGCATATCACACATTTCGTTATACGACAATACTTGATTACTTAGTTATACTCGCTCGCTTTTATTTTAGTTGAAACGTGATATCTTCTTTCGTGAGTGTCAATCGGATCGTCTCCCATGTCTTATCTATTTAAAGAATATCGCAAAATTGTTTGAGTCACTATGAACGCTTGTGAAAATACTACTTTCACCGGCTCCTTTTTCAAAGTTGTAAATTAACTGTAATTGTAACTGATCCCTGATCTGGTCTTTTATATCGTTTTGTGTTTCCATTAAAATACAGACTAAGCATTACAATTAATTAGGTTAAGCATATAATAAGGCGGAACATTTATGCAAGAAAATTTTAAGGTGTACGTAAATATGATGAACATTGATGATCACTTGATCATAATTTCAGCATTTTACCACTTCAGTCATATCATAGTAATATTATCCCCGATTTATTAATAATGATACTCCTTTTTGACATAAACACATCTGTGTTTCTGGGCATCCCATCTGGGTATTGAATATTAATAAGAATATTCAATTAGCCCTATGGTGAAATGTTTAAATTATAGAAATATTTTACGCATATAGGCATGTACTATAGTTTTTCCTGATTATTTATTTAATTCTATCATCTCAAGTTTTTACAAGTTACTGTAAAATAAACTTATGGCTAACCAAACCCTAGTTTTTAGCTCTCAGTTTTACAGGTCAACATAGCAAGGACGTATGCTCACTGTGTACCAATATTTGGCAACATTTGACAAACTAAAACCACAAGTTGGTGTTGAGTAATTATTGTACCATACCCACAGCCGTAACAGACATTTTCGACAAGTTTGTGCACGTAGAAAATATTAATAATATATGTAAATGTAAATTGCAGATTTTAAGCCAAAAATTACTTCCAAATCGCTTAGCCACTTGACTTTAACGTTTTTTTTCACTATAACAGCAGCTGTTCAAAATTTTCTTTTTTTGATAGCTGCAATAGTTTCGGATATTATTAGACTGTATAAAACTTGTGTAATGTGTATATATAAAAGAAAGAAAACAGTTTTGAAAAGCTATGTAAATTTAATATAAGTAAGTTATGATTGATACATTGTAAGGTCTCGTCAAATAGATAAAGGTACAAAATGTTGTTTTTTTAGTTTTCTAAAAAGTTTATTAAGAGTTACAATTCTGAAATAACCATTGACTAATATTAAAACTGGAATTAAAAATATCACAAAAACCTTATGGTGTGCAAAATTGTTTTTCTCTTATTGTGGTGCGGTCAAATGTTAAATGCATTTATTTCAAAAATGTTTGTGTATGTATTATATTGTTTTGTTGTATTATAGTCATGTTCCTTTCTACATTCTTTGTTTTATTTCACCAAAATGATAGAAATAAAAGTCGTTCTTGATTCATAATAAAAAACAATTTCTTCACATTATTTAATAGAAACCAAGAAATCAACTATACACATTAAACAAAACACCATCTGGAATGTAGGCACTTTAATCATTCACATAATTTACTTATACTGAAGTTAAAGCAAACATATACATAATATATGTATATATATATGAGATTAGAGATACAAAATTAGATAACTTGTTAAAATATTTTAGAATGTTTAACACATCTAACAATACACATTATTTTCACACTTGACACTTTCAAAATGTAAACTTCAATAATAACAGTATACGTTAAAAATAAAAATGTAAATAAGTGAATACAACAATTGGTGTAATCTTCATAAATTGTAAGTACCTATTTGATATGCAGTAAATTTATTTCTTTAAAACCAATTGCCGGATATAATACCATGATGTCCGACATCTATGTATATACTAATATAATAAAGCTGAAGATTTATGTTTGTTTGTTTAAATTATACGCTAATCTGGGGAACTGTAAGTCAGATTTGATAATTTTAGGTTTTAGAACAAGCACCTTTGTGCCTGTTTGCCCTATGAATGGCTGTGTTTAAGCAAATAAGAATTATGAAGAAGCAACTTTGCTAGAGTCGAAAAAGCACACTTCGGTCACATATATGCTTCATCGTGTCGCTGGTGGAGTGGAATTAGGAAAGTAGGAGGAATACTATATGGAAGTAAGGTAGGCACGCATTCATTACTTAGATAGGACATTTTAGATAATTTAATAAAACAATTATTAGATTTGACTGGGATGAGAAAATAAGAATAATTTTGAATGTTTAAGACAGTATTACTTACTTGCAATAGAAAGAAAATAAAGTATGCAATCTTACTCATAAAAAAGTAAATTTGAATAATGGATGGAATAGGTAGTTATTTCACATACTTCAAGGAATTTCCTGTATACAATATTATTATTACTATTTTTGTCTTTATGTAAATTGAGCTAATCTACTCAATTAAAAATATCTAATTCCAAATTACTAATTATAATTATAATAATTTTCGACGTATCTAAAAAAGCTAATTTATCACACTTTGTTTTAAGACTAAAATCGATTAATTAATCGATAGTGTTTTAACTGTTATTTAGTGCAGCTACAATTTGGCCTTTACAATTTAGATTTTACGGGCTGTTACAGCTACTATTTCAATATTTATTAATCTCTCACTCTTGAAATATTACGTAATAAAAATCGACCTTAACAATTTTACGTACCTACGTTTGTTTTAAAATCTTGTTCACAAGAAATATAATTTATTACTCTATAAGCTTCTTAGTCTCGCTAATGTACCTACTAATTGTAAAGTAGTGCCTACTTATTTACTGCGTAAGAATATTTATTTTTACACAGATTAAAAAAATACGTAGGTACACTGTAGTTCAAAAATCTGGCAACATTGCAAACGGCAACAACATTTGCTGCATTGATTGCATTTGCTAAAGTTACACACTTCAAAGGGACACTTCTCTGGACCTGTTTATCAAATTTGAAATAACATTAATATTCTACAGAGGTGCAGACGGGCGAATCTCGTGAGCGCTCATAACTGAAGACCAATTCAGAGCAGAGTAGTGATTCGTTTTCATTTCTACGATTGTCGGTTCGCCGGACGTGTGCCGGCGGCATCCTTGCCTGCTTTACTATTTATCTTAAGAACCAAAGATCAGTGCCTCAAATGAAATCTATTCACAATCAGTTAATAAAAATAGCACATGTCCTTCCCTATATAAAACGTTGGTATCTATTTCAGGAGATCTATATGGTATCTATTTCAGGAGAGGACTCTGCATTTCATCTAACATTATAGTTATCTATTATTTAAATTTATCCCATAAAAGCGTGTATACAGCCCTCACTCACTCCATGCTTCTTCAGTAGATCGAGACTGGCGTATGTAAACTCTGTAGGCCCACAGAGACAGGCGTAGTGTGTGCATTCGTCTCCGCATTTAATGTCTCCGAGTATTTCAGAGATAAACTCAGAACTTATACGACCTTTGTAACCTGTCCAAGATGGGCTAGCCTCCGATAGGACGTGTGTGACTTTAAACCTGTAAACAATATGTCTACGTCATCATGTTTGATATTTGCTGTGAAAATAACAAATCGTCTCGTAGTCGTAGAATAGTATCGGATCTGACATTTATTGAACTTTACAGGGTAGCCATTTCAAATAATTATGTTATTTTTTTGACATAACTTTTTTAATTCTAAATCTTGAATTATGAAAATTGGCATACAAGTGAAAAATAGGGTCTGATTTAAAATGCAATAAAAATAACAACTAATAATTTTACAATCACATGCTTCATTTTACTTTGAGCGCCTATCAAACAACCGCTGAATAATTTAAAATCTAAAATACATTTTTTTTTCTTGAATGTAGTAATAATATTTAGACAATGTAGTATCCAAATACGGTAAAATCTGAATTTCGTATCTTTTAGGTCGACATTATTCTACGATCATGACGAAATGAGCTCGCCATGGAATTCAGAGCTTTATAGAACAAATTGTAAATGTAATAAAAATCCATTTTTTTCGATAATCTCAATTTTTTGAATACGCACTACCCCCTGGTAACGTGTAAATAGTAAATTTCTGGGTGAAAGGCCTTTCTGGTTTTCTTTCTTCCCTGCATCTCCATGTAGAGAAGCATCTGCATCTCTATTTTATAGTCTATGTCTGTAAATTTAATTCGCTATAAAACCGTTTTAGCTAATCCAGTAAGTTCCGATTCAATACAAAAAGTTAACATATTTTAATCCGATACGTACCGGTCGTCCTCCTTTATTATTTCTTCGAAGTTATCACGGAACAAGATGTCCTCTTCTGTTTTATTGAAGAATATTAAGTGTGTCAGTTCACTGCAACATACGAATAAGTTGAATAACCAAAAATTGCGTGCGTGTCGGATGATCATGCATTTATAAACGAAACGGAGAAAGACGGATATCAAGCCAAAATGCATTTATTTTTTACTATTTAGAATCATAAAAAATATATTATGCTTACCATCTAGGATTAGATCTTGACAGCATAAACTTTATCAAGCCGAGCATTGGGGTGATGCCAGTGCCCGCTGCAATTAGATACAAGGTCTTCACAGATTTGAACTGCAACGAACAATGCACATCAAATTATATATTTATAAAATAGGTATTCGAAACATCGATTCAATGAATTATTAAAAAGTTGTAATCAGAATAAGTATAAAAGCTTTTTGGATATTTTGCATTCGAATGACATCTAAGATGTAATAATATTTAATTTACTAAATATTTAATTTACTAATATTGTTTTAGTTGCATAGGAGTTTATCATTTAACCTAACATGGTAGAATTGTTTACTTTTTTAATTACATAAATATTTTTGAGGAAGGATCATTTAACGATTAAAGTTGGTTTTGTATTTGTTTATATTTACCACTTGTAGTTCGAAGTTTCCATAAGGACCAGATAAAGTGATCAGATCACCCATCTTGAGTGTTGCGAGATGCGGAGAGAGTGCTCCACTCTCGTATTCCTTCACCGCCAGTCTTAGTGCTGAGTAGACATCACTTGCATCAGTAGGACTCCAACCTTCACCAACCGGTGTGTAGGAACGTACGCACTCTGTACCTACGGAATATAAGTAGTACCTACACATATTTACATTTATAATACCCATATTTGTATGTAAGTACAATAACAATTATAACAATCTTGGCAATGATTTATAAATGAATAGTACGGCAAGTACCCGTTTAAAAATGTTTAATAGAACTACGCATGCGTTGCATTGAATGGTGTAACGGTGCGTCTGCTGCCCCCATCCCAACGTATCTCTTTAGCACAGTGTCTCATTACCGGTAGTGAAAAGAATGCGTACCTATGCTATCTAACGTGTTTCCATCACACTATACGTCAACCCTAGCATATGCCAGACTGGATATGAGTTCGTATTTGAGAACTTACATTTAGTTTTTATATGATAGATATGTGTATAGAAAAGTACAAAATAACCTCAATGGGTTATTTATGTGGAAAATGCTAATCCTTTGTTAGTACTCTAACTAAGCTTAATATTGATTCTTAAAATAACAAATTTCAAGGTGGAACAGATTTATTCCTATTATCACTTTATAAGTATTCAAGTTAGTTTTCGATCTCTACGATAAATACACTAAAAGCTATTATTATTTGTCATAAAGTTTCCAAAAAAAGTTTATTACATTTATTTTTCAGAAGAACGTTATTCAACCCACAACATAAAACAAAAACCATCATTATCTACACAATATTTTAAATAAAGATACGCGTAAAACAGAAAATGGGTTTGAAATTAAGTAATACTCTATTAAGCACTTAATTTTGTCCTTAACATTTAACGAAGAATTAAGGTCTGGTAACAGAGGGGCTCTCAACGATATTAAATCATACCTACTAGTTACACCGAAATTTGCGAGTTTTCTCCTGGGAGCAATTATAAGGGTCGTGTATAAAATATGTACAGTCTTGTTACATATGTTATAGGCGGTTACCGGCTTTGTTTTGTGGGCGTTATATTTGTATACAGTTGAATTTTTCTAATAAAGGATTAATATCTTGTAATAATGAAACGAATAAAGATTCGTGTGTAATGTTCATCTTTTAGTAATGGCGGATAGTTGCAGTTGTTTCACGCTACACCCAACTGCGTTCTAAGACCTTGTGTCAAAATGTCCTGCTTGATAACTATTTTCTAAAATATGAGTTTATACTCGATATTATGAGCATCTATTGATTATTTAATAATTTATTCTCGTTGAAATGGATAAGTTTGACATCATCAATAAAATGTTATTCTTACAATAAATTAATTAATTTACTCCACTGCTAAACTTAAGCCTCTCCTTAGAAAGGTTATTTGGGCAAGTGTGGTATACAATCTCTATTTTTAATGTGTCACCACACGGACAAATTATTAAGGGAAAAACAAGAAGAGAAACGAGACTAGTCTCCTATTAAGACTGCTATTAGATTTATAAATCGGTTTAAAAATAACGGAGTTATGAAGGTACAAACGTAATAGAAAATACGCCCGAATTAATCAATGATCCTCTTTTTTTAAGTCGGTTAAAAATCTTACCATCAATTCTTTTGTGTACCCGTACATGATGTCCAAGTGGTACGACTACAGGGCCTGCTCTCGGACACACCGACAGAAGCAACGTGTTGTGGGATACCTTGCTGACTCTCATCACTCGACAGTCTACCGATCGAGGAGATGACACCCGGCTGGTGGTCCCTAATGTGACCTCGCCGCATCCTTTCCACACTTCGGCGACTGCTTTTAGTGCCGTCACCTAAAAGCAGGGGGGAGAGAGAGAGTGACACTTTTAAATACCTAATTTGAACAAGACAAACTAAAGTACTCGGACTGAAAGTATTATTTCTGAACTAGTCCACCAAGGCGACCACGAAAGTTAAGAAAACTACATTTTAAAATACATCTCAAATATTAATTTTACTCACCTCTATTTTCCCGCTCTCTGCGAATACACGTAGCTGTAAGGGCTCTTTTAATTTCGACTCAGTTTTCAATTTGAGCGTTCGTAGCCATCCGTTAGTAGCCACCTCAATTAAAAGAAATCCCTCTGTGATACGCGCGCTACCACCCGGATTAGCCAAGTATCCCGTGTACACAGATATTGTGAGTTTGGTCGATGTTTGTATCCAGTCATGGCGAAGGGGAACAGGCGAATCTAGTCGCTTGTCAGCTTTTTTTACAGGACTTGAGGCTGCTCTCCGACTTATCGACACAGGCAAATCAGCAGACTGAATCAGGCTTTGCATAATTTTACTAGGCGGACTTCCTTTTGCAGTTTCATCATTTTTAGAAGTTATTTTCTTCCTAACTGGAGTGATACAATTTGCTAAATTTTCCATAGATTTTCTAACTAATTCTTGTGCTTTAGACGGTTCTCTGAGTCGGTCTGATTTCAGCGAGGGGGTCGAGGTGTCGAAAAGTTCTTCTGAATCTGGTAGTTCGAAGCGGAGAGGCCCTACGAGACATTTCGCAAGAAGAGAATCATAATTGACCCAAGGATGTACTTTGTCAAATATTTGGGTCGCGTCTATGCCGGCGCCCCGCATAAGTTCCTCGGGGCCTGAAATATAAACAATACGTTAACGTGGGGATTATAGTAAAACTTTGTCAATTATGCGAAGCGGTATTATTATTGTAATCTTACCTCCAGGATGGTAGGGTAAGTAATGTGTTATGTTGTATACTCGGCCGCGAATCGCTAGCCAGGCGTCGTCTGTAACATTAAGTTAATATCTTGTAAAATATTTTAGTTCATATACACAAAACTCCATAAGTATTTCAATATTCGTGATGTATTTGGTAATCTCTTTGAGTTCTCCGTGGACTAAGTAACTTTTATTACATTAAGTTTAATGTTCTACCAGTGACATAACGTGTAGGCACAAGGACCCCAGGGAAATCTTAGTAATCAATGTCGAATCGACGACGTAAGTCTGATATTGTTATCTATACTAATATTATAAAGCTGAAGAGTTTGTTTGTTTATTTGTTTGTTTGTTTGTTTGAACGCGCTAATCTCAGGAACTACTGGTCCGATTTGAAAAATTCTTTCAGTGTTAGATAGCCCATTTATCGAGGAAGGCTATAGGCTATATATCATCACGCTAAGACCTATAGGAGCGGAACACTAATGAAGAATGTTTCAAAAACGGAGAAAATTTATTACTATTGAGAGACGCAGACGAAGTTGCGCGGGTCAGCTAGTTGGATATATTGGTGGAGGTCAACGGATTAGCGCAATCGTATTTTGAACCTTGCCACTAGACATAATCCGTTCGTTTCGTTTCGAATTACACTTAGACCCATGTGATAAGTAAGTACAGTGAAATTAGTCTCGAGAAATTTTTGAATATGTAGTGGTGTGTATATTACTCAGATCTTAGAGCGCGTTTCCACTATATCGTTCTGGCCTATACAAAAATGTTTCGATATCCTAACATTACTATTTAATTTTATACTTATCCCTAGCAACACTCTGATTTTTGTTTTCAATAAAAACAAGTTTTTATTTTAAAGAAAAAGGTTTTGACTTTATAAAAAAAAGGTGTGTGTGCGATTCACACACGATAGAAGTGAAACTTCAAAGAGGAGAGACCGATATTTTTTTTTTTTCCTTTCATCTAGGTTTTTAAAACTCCGGGGAGTCTACGGGGGGGTCAAAATAATTGTTATTTTTGGCCTAGGACGCACCGTTTCCGAGATAAAACTTTAGTTTTTATAGTATCTATAATAATTAATATGGTAGAATAAGTCAGTGGCCTTTCGGCTGGTTAGTTTAAACTGTCGAATTAAATAAAAATTGTTTATTGACACATAAGTTACTTACATCTGTATCACAGTTAGTCACAGACTTTGGTTATCTATTACTTTTTTACTGATACTGACTCCCAAACTAGACCATAGCCTGTATCTTGGGAGACAGTGTTCAGTCGCACAAAAGGTAGACAGTACTATTTTACATACGCATTTACACTTTATTCGTTATTGTTAATTACTAAGAAAGTATCTAATTGCGGGGTGATATCAACTGATACATTAAAGAAATGTTACTACTTAAGGCGCTTTTGCAGCGAGGTGTGTAGGTGTGCAAACATTACCTCACCCCCCGCTAACGTATCGTACGCAAAGACGCAGCGTGTCAAAAAGCTGCGCGAGTAGGCTGCGCGCAACTCAAAGTTACGTCCAGATATTGTGCCACAGTGTAGCGTACTCGTAATAGGTACAGTAGTTAGAGAAGGATATCATGTTTGAGGTATATAATTCTAATTGGCTGTTGCACTTTTAAACTTTTGTTATTCACCTGTATGTTAGCTTTCTACTAAAATAGGTATACACGAAAATAAAAAAATATTGGAATTAAATGACCGTTTTAACAGGCGAACTAAGGTTTATTAGTTATTAGTTATAGGATATTAGGTCATTACTGCCTACATATATATTTTTTTTGCTAAAAATCTCATAAACAATGATGTTTTTTTAATACCTTATTCTACAAATTTCTCTTACTTCATGAGTTTATCAGCAGATTGGGTACCATAATACAGGCTGCAATTAATAATACACACAACATAAGTTGAATAATTCACATAACTTTAATAAAAGATGATGATAGAGGCGGAGGTTTTATTCTAAACTTTCTTAAGTTTTATATCAACAATGTCAAAGCGCAATAGGTAAGCGGGCTTTCCTATTCGCACAGCATAGTTAGCTTACAATAAAGCGTTTCGTTACAGTGTGTTTGAAGAGACCTTATTTACCAACATACTCAAATTGGTTCTATCAATATATAATAATTAATATTTCGCTTTCTATTTCAAAGATAATTAAAAAAAAAAAAAAAAAACTATAATATTAGTGTCAGATACACTCGGAATTGAAGCCTATGTTAAAGAGCCCGATGATGCTTCATTTTCTTTTCCTGAGGTTAAAAATATGTTTCGTATTGGCATGCCACGCGTGTGCCTTGGGTCAACCAATTCCGGCAGTAAGCAGGTCAAATAAAATTGAACCAACCTTGGTTCCATTTTTTCTTTTCAGAATTCGTCGTCATTTTCAATATATTGTATAAACACTGGTTCATTTTATGATACCCACAAACCAAAAAGCCACTCACTCGAGTCCGTTTGTAGGACGGTCGATCATTCAATATGATCTCTGTCTGCTGTAAGATTTATTAAATTGTTTAAATAATTAGCTTTCCCTCGCTCCAAATCAAACATGGACATAGCTGGTGCCAACGTGCTATAGGTCGTTATTAGCGTTTTGAAATCTACGTATCTTTTTTACTGGATGTCCCAAATTCAATTTACGTTTATGGGCCCTTTTTTTTGATGTACTTCAAAATTCTGCTTGAAGGACTTCTATTTAACATTTTTTAACAAAAGATACGACTGCTGCTGCACATCTTCCTTGGTACAATATGATAAAATATGATTGGGAAATTCTATTTTTTCAACAGTAAAATTCTGTGTTTTGTAGGGTTTCACCATTAAAATCTTAGCATATGTGGAAGAGTCACCATCTGCTATAAGTCTTTGGTATATTACTCCGTACATAGCAATAGACGTTTTAAAACCCCCCGCAATTATATCTGCTTCCATAGAGGTAGATAACCATTATAGTTTTTGAAGCATTTATGTTCTGGAGGCGTTATGTTATTTTTACTAGCCCGGCTACAAACCAAACAGTATTTATTTTTTACACCCATGTACAAGACCGCACCTGTTTTTCTGCCAATAATAGCAGCAGCGCCAGAAAAGGCCTTAAAATTGGTGCCATAAGAGCGCGCACGCCATGCTCCATCGGCACACACATCGATCACTGAATATCCACCTTTAGTTCGACTTTCGGATACGGCTATTTTTTCTTCTTATCTATTACTGCTTGCATAGTATCAGCTGCTGTCAGTTCCCAATTTTCATATACCTTGTTTTGCAACTGTGCGTACGTATGTGTCGAAAAGACGGGTATGTCTATTGCAGTAAATAATTTTTCAAACTGCCCGATGCCTGTTGCCACGATTCCAGTTGTAGCCGCTAAGTTTATGCCTAAAGACTTTTCCTCTTTCACATCATCATTATTTTCTGAAGAAATCGTTACGATTTCTTGACAGACGTTATTAACCTTCCCTTATGTCATAAGCGAAAGCTCATGGACATGTGCATCCTCCCCATTCTCACATATGGTGCACAAACTTGGTCTTTGACTTGACAGCAGAGGTCCGCGCTGAAGGTTTGCCAGCGAGCCATGGAGCGTAGTATTCTGGGCGTACAGCTTACAGACCGAATAAGAAATACAGCACTATGCTCCAAAACACAAATAGCAGATGTCACTAATAAAGCCGCTGCACTCAAATGGAACTGGGCCAGAAACGTTTGCCGCATGCCGACAGATCTATGGGCAAAAATTAGCACCACTTCGGTCCCACAAGGCGCTAAACGACAACGTGGTAGGCCCAGGCGACGATGGCGGGATGAACTCGACGGTTTCCGAAAAGACTGGTCCGAACTAGCATTCGACAGAGAGATGTGGAAGGGAGAGAGGAAGGCCTTTGCCCTGCAGTGGGACAATACAGGCTAAAAATAAATAAATAAAATAATAGATAGGTACGTGTTGAATTGCCGTCCTACGTGTTTATATGCAGGATGAAACTGGGTCATGTCGTGACTTAGTTACTGTACAGAGGCATTTTACTCCTATTTTTAAGTATATTTTTCTTAGAAATAGGACTAAACAGTTAAAGCCTTTCAAAACAAACTTGATCAAAAGAGAACTCACTAAACAAGCGTCTCAGATGTATTGGGTATTTCAAGAGAATCTTGAATTTCTGGGACAAAGTTTTGCAATGTCGCATATTGAATGTTTTCTTGTTCACTGAAAATAGTGTCATTGTTTAGTTTTCACACGACAAAACTAAAAAAAAACAGTTATTCCATTTATATAAATACAAAAACTAACGTAGTATTATGATCAATAGAAATTGATTTCTGTAGGGTCTCAACTACGCCTGTGAATATGCTTTGTCTCATCGAAGTGCTGCAAAATAACAATAAATAAACTTATATTACTGTTGAATTCCACATAATTTAAATGTGCCTGACTATAGCAAAATTAGAGATTTTTAGTAACATTTTCTGATTACCTTCTTTCTATACTACCAATGAATACTGTTTATTTACCGTACTCACATGTATACTGATTTTTTTTAGACTGTGGCGCAGTGAAACTGATGTGTTTGTAAATTTTTACTATTTTTGTGTTTTATAAACTTTGTCGACGGAAATAATTTACCATGAAACAAAAAAATATTTAGGTAGAGGTTGTTTAATTATTTATATAAATAATTATTTCTTAGTAAATTTATAATTTAGTGTTACAAAGACGCGTTAGAAAACATTAAAATAATTTAATAATATATTTATATAGTAATGTAATGTAGTGAAAAAACATATTTTTTGGTTCCTTTTTTTATAAGTACAACTATATGAAAATGTATCCTTACAAATCCCTGGAAAAAAAAGCTCTATGGTTTGGTATAATTTTTACGTGAATCCATGGTGGCATTTTACAACAATTTCTATTTGAAATCGTGAGTTAGTGCTATGTTTGTGATTTTTTTTATCGAGCCAAATTCCATAAATCATGTTTCCATCTTTACGGATCTTTAGATTATATGTTTAGTTTTTATAAAATATTTATTTTCATGCACAATAAATGCATATTAGGGTATTTATTTATCTTCAAAAAAGTGCAAAATTGCTGCAACCTCGCCTTAACACGAAAGTTACTTACACACATTAGTTACGCTTAATAAAAACTTATATGGCATCATTCTCTATTCTTGCTTTGATCCGAATACTGTCTCAAGTTTAAATTTAATAAGCTAATTATTGAAAAAAAAAACACGCAGTCTGCGTGAAAAAATCCATTGAGCCGTTCAGGCTGCAGAGCGTGCCAAACATTTGAATTTGGCGCCAATTTGTTTTCTTTTCAGTGTCACTCTCACAGTAAATAGGAATCTAACGATACCTCTCAAGCTAAAATCCATAGAGCCGTTGAGGCCGCAGAGCGTGCCAAACAATTATACATACATACATACTTTCGAAAAACATAACCCTCCATCTGGCGCAGTCAGGTAAAAAAGAGTATCCAAACTTCCTACCTATAATATGAGTTACTGCACACACAGATTGCTCAGAAAAGGACAAACGTCTTTTTCACTCAGGAAGGAAAAAAGCACTGTGTAACAATAAATTCAAAGCGTCTATGTTATTAAGAATCTGGTTAATAAAAGTTTAGAAAAGTGTAATGCGTTGTTTTAAATATTCAGAATTAAAAAATTCTAAGAGACAACTCACTAAGTGTATTGTGCGTCGCCAATTCTGAGAGTGAAACCGGTCGTATTCTGCCTCCAACTCCTGTTAGATCCTTGCCTGAGTTGCCGAGACGGATCCAGTCCATCAAACTATGGCCAGGTTGTAGCGCACATTTGTTGCGTGGATTGCCTAGAACAAAAACAAACTCTCATTTCGATGTTTCATAGAAATTAAAAAAATGCTTAGCTCGGCAATGAACCAGTTTAAAACGACTAACAAAACAGGCCCGATACTATCATTAGGATAATGACCGAGGATAATCTTCAATATTATTATAATACTAGCTGGTGCCCGCGACTTCGTTCGCGTGGAATTTAAAAAGCGCTGCCTTACAGGGTTCGATTCCCGAACCGGTCAAAATTTTATAGGGTTAATAAAATATTATCAATATCGGTCTACCCGTTTTGAAGATTACCCGGTACAAACAGACTATAATATTTAAACTGGTTTTTAGGCATAAGTATGTAAGTACATAACTTGTTCTAAATTGTAGGTTCGTACCAATTTTCCTTAAAACCTTGTTTAAAAATTATCTTAAAGTATTATAATAATAACAGATACTTTATTTCCTGTCTTAGTCACAATATTACAATGATAATAATGAAACAAGCTTCGATGGCCTATTTGACACACTTCAACCTCAATCGTAGTATTATCTGTAACATCCCTTTAATCGCTTAAAGCTTTCAACGACGAGATGTATAAATAAGACTAAAATACATATGCCGCGATTAGAGCGATTACTCACGTGCCCAATATTGACAAAATAGTATTAACATTATATCAGTTTTGATGTCTTACACATGCGCAACGTATTTACGAGAAAGTACAACTATAGTGCTAAATAATATATTCTGCATTCTCTGCCAGTGGGCGCATAGGAGGGTAATAAATAATAGAGGTTTTGTTAAATACCAACTATCTTAGAATATGGTGTATACATCTGAATGCCACACATATACATATAAATTCGACGTACCTACACATAAACACAGATATATATTAATATATATTATAAAAATATAATAATTTTAGGCAATGAACTAGGAGCTCGTTAAATCTGCCATTTCACTCAGCAAAAGCTCTTTCACTTTCGTCTTAAAAAAGTACCGATTTGTAGCCATCCAGACTGCGAGAGGAATCGCATTCTACAAGAGGACAACCTGGACGAAGAACGAAGAGCCGACAAGCCCAGTGGTGTGAGATGGACAGAGTAGAAGGAAATAGTTGGCCGAACGAAGGTTTCTGTTGAGGTTATTGCATAATAGTTGAAATTGTGTTGTTATTACTTAACAACACAACTTCAACTATGCGTAGGAGAGGAAGAGGAATTGAGAATAGTGTACATAATTGTGAGTGAGCGCATTTTCCTGCGTTGACGAAAACTGGAGATATGGTCATACTTACGAAGATTAAAAATAAATCGAAAGCAGTTATTGATAAGACGATCTAGCTTGCTGAGAAGATCTCCATTCAGATCATGATAGCACACGTCACCCTGATCGATTAAAGGGAAGATAAGAGATTGCACGTGCGCTGTTTCAGTTTTCACGGGAAGAAAGTTTTTCGGGCGATATAATGTTCTGAAAATGCCGGTAACTCTCTGACATACGTATGTGACTTGATCGCGCCAGTTCAGAGTACAGTCGAGTTGTAAGCCTAGGTCTTTCACCGTTCGACAAACAGGTATAGTGGTTCCCTTAAAAAATATTTTTGAAAGCGTCTCAAAACTGACTCTGTTCATCGAACGCTGACTGGCGATTATTATGCCAATTTTAAATAGTTTTTTTGTCATTGCTAGTTTTTGACTATTCAAAGCATCACAAATCTTTAGCTCAAACCCTAGGTTAGACGCGAAAGACGGATTTTGGTGACGAGTTGGCTCTTCTCGTTATCTCTTTGCTGAGTCCACCTAGTATGTCATAGCCCAATTTAAAAAATAAATAAAATGAAATAGCATCAGTGGAAGGAAAAAGTTGCTAAACCAGAGAACAGGGCTCTGTTTTGTGAAGCTGACATTTCGACAAATATGTCAAAAAGTGATAAAATTGTAGAATTGAAAATTGATATAATAGAATTAGGCTGTTTAATAAAAGTGACAACTATGTCAAAAATCGACAGGTAAAATCTTGACATGTTTGTCATTTAAAAACGCGTTTAATAAACCTCGACATAGTTATGTCAAAAAAACCACGGTCAAATTATTACTGACAATGGTCGGTGACAATTGTCGGATTGTCGTGAGAATTATTTCGACTTTGGACATATTTGTAAATTATTTTATTTTCTGAAATATTAATGAATCAATCACTAGTGTAACTTGGATTGTATGGGTTGATTTTTAACATTTTGGGCCTTATTTATGATAATAGAAATGTACTCTTTGGGAAGTTTAGTGACCAATGTACCCACGATATTAGGACCACGGACACGATATGTACCCACGAGGACGAAGGAAATAGCCGAACAATTAAAAGCATTAGGTATTTTCAATATAGACTGGAGATACCTTCGTGACACTCCATGGCAAAATTGACGCAAAAGGACCATGGTAAGGTTTAGTTCATTTTAACTAGTTTATACGTCATCAATTCGTTTTTTTTTGTTAAGACCGTTAACCAACCCTAAATAAAGAAAGAGAACCTTGATAGTGATGCTGTCCTTTTGTATTTGTATTGGTGTATTAAGTGTCATAAGCCACTTTCCCATGTCTGTGCTAAAGAAGAGCATCTTATCACTCTGGCATCGTTTACAGAACGAGGCCATCTTGCAAGTGCGTATAAATTTTTTAAGTTTGTCCCGTATACCGTACCATAGTATTAATTGAACGGTTTCCGTTTCTATCTACAAACGCAGATTCAGCGCATCTAGAGGAATTAACGAATCGCCCACAATACTAGACATTCTAGGTTTCCCATTATGCTTCATGTAGTGTTTGTATTCGGTTACAATTAAGCCAGTGAACCTCTTCTCCAAGTAATACCGTCGACCAATTATACAAATAAACATTCTACGGAAGTTTAACATGCCCGATTTTTTCTTTAAAGCAAAAATCTGTGATTAAGCAGGAGAAATTGATTCTGCTTTTAAATAATCCTTGTTGTCCCGTGATACCTCTCGAACCAATCCGCCATAATGGGCCTTACCGCCGCAATAACGGCGTGCCCGGTTGGATAGCAGCCTGGATTCACAAAACATTGTTTAAAATATTAATAAACACAGGAATGTATCGTCTGTGTTTATATTTCAGGCTATTATTTTTTTGTCCTTTATATTTAATGTCCTATATTTTTAAAGTTTTTTTTAAAATATATTGCGACTAAAATTGAGAACAGTAGATATTTCTAAATTACTCGTATTTAATACTACATAAGCATAAAATGTTTGAAAAGTAGAGCAATAAAATCGTTAAGTAGGTAATTGAATCTGATCTGAAACCATTTATCTGTACAAATCGAGACAAAGCCGTTCGATGTCAATTTGAGAAGTTAAGAAAATAGGTACATAAAGAAATCGTACCCGTAAAGTTGTAAAATTATATTTTTCATTAAATACTTATAAATATTATAATATAAGAATTGAAATTATGACTTTTAAGAAATGATTTTAGCCACATCTATTGTACCCAAAAGTAACAACGGTGAAAGCTGTGAAAAGGAACAATTCATAGGCTACAAACATTTTCGGCATAATTTAATAATGAAAATAATCATATTTATTTTCTTTCTTAAAGGCTTACTTAAGATCCTGTCAGAAAGATTATCAGGCTTCCTACACACATGGAGTCTCAGATAGTGTGGTCAATATGAAAAAATAAAAATAAGTATTGGAACATATATTTTACATATGAGTGTGTGACACAATTTGGATGGGACTTATCATTCGCGGACGAGCGGATTCAAATACATAACAGGAGGTAGGAAATAACCCTTCTGAACCTTACCGTACTGTAACCATGGTACAACTAGGTATATTCTCCGGCCATAGTCAGAATGCTTACCATACTAATTACAAAAACATAAAGAGTGAAGAAATTGTTATTAAACTAGTAAAGTTAAGTGTGTTATGTCACTTAACTAGTAAAGTTGCCCGACGGGGTCCATAATGCACTGTAAAACCCAATGTCTTTAAGACTGTAACATCTCTTTAAGACTGTAACGTTGATCGATTGGCTAAGTTAGGTATCATTAGTGGTACAGAAAGAAATATCAAAATTAATTATGAAGAATTATTACCTAAATATAAAAAAAAAGTGTCATGAAATTTGGAAAGAGTATTATAATCAGAATTCGAGAAAAAAGGGAATATGGTATAAGACTATAGTATCGGAGCCTCCTCGTATACCATGGTTTTCCAACACCGGACTCAATAGAAAAATCACTGTAATCGCCCACAGGTTGAGATCTGGACACATTCCTCTCAATGGGTTTGGATTCTTGATGAAAAAACTGAATTCACCAAACTGTGAGGTTTGTGGTACTTTAGAGGATGTGACACACTTATTGACGGAGTGTGTCATATTTCAATCTGAGAGGGAATGTCTGATGAAAGAGTTAAATATAAAGTTTGGAAGTTGAGGAAGTAGACATATTACTAGACATACCTACATATTGGCAAAAGCATTAATCAAGATGGCTTTTTCTTACAACGTTATTGGTGGCATTGAGTTTCTGAAGTTGATGGATGATAAGGGTGTTCTGTTTTAAATTATTTACAGTGCCTTATGTACCTACTTTTATCAAAAATACCTCGACAATTGGAACTATGTATAACTAGTTTGTAAGTAAGTAAGTACGTTTTGAGTAGTGACAGACACGAGTTTTCGCGCACAATAGTAATCCATCAGTTTTTTTTTAAATCAGTTTAATACATTATTTTTAGTATAATTTAATTTGTTTAAAAAAATCACAAAAAAAAATAGTTTAAAATTTAAACTATATGTATGTATTACGCAAATGTGGTTGAGTCTTAACACTTTCAGCTTTCATTGTTTTTGAAAACTTAATTTTATCTACATTAATGTAGATTATTAAACACTTATTATAACTTAACGTCAACATATTTCTACGATATAAACACGTGTGCGTGTTTAATCAGGTGTGCGTGTTTAATCTAACAACAATTATACAAAAAACAGAGAAAATTTTAAGGCATTATAAAGGCTGAAGAAAAAAAAATCTTTTGTAATTTGCGTTACACCACTATCATAGTGGCTTATGGTGATGTAGGTGGCTTATAATTGAAATTATTTGAAATAAGGAATTTGTTAACGATTTGGCAGTACTCGTACTTAATTTTTGGGGCGCGTGTTTTAAACATTGTGGTATAGCATAAGCTCACACCTATATTTACTCGAAATTAATCTAAATTACTCGCCTGGATAGATGGGCGAATAATTTAGGTATAGGTGTAGGCTCGCCTCAGGTAATCGTATCTGTCTATCTAACCTTGTTACGATTCCATTAAGTCTACAATATCTTTGACGTTGGTAGATGTTATGGCATAGACTGACTATATTCATGTTTATTTTGTATATTCGAAAAATAAAATTCTGTTGAAAGAGTAAAAAAACAGCTTTACTTTTAAGTTCGACAGTATGATAGGCGATAAGCTGTGCGGTTTTGTTTTACTGCAGTTAATTTAACTTTTCTTCTTTATTTATTTGTTGATACTATCGAAACTTATTAGACTTATTTAAAGGGAATTTGAGTTGCAAGATTTGCACCGCATTTATCAATAGTTACGGGTAATTATAAGCGTATGTTTTACATCAACAGCA